GCGCGGAGTGGCGGGCTAGGGAGAGGAGCAGTGCGGACAGAGAGGGGAGACAGAGCAAAGGCAGGCCGGCTAGGGAGAGGAGCAGTGCGGACAGAGAGGGGAGACAGAGCAAAGGCAGGCCGGCTAGGGAGAGGAGCAGTGTGGACAGGGGGGACAAAAGCCAGATGACACTGACAGGATGCTCTGGAACACAGACGGCAGCCAGCAGTCAGGAATCTCACCAATGCACTCGGTGCCGACTTTGCGGTATCCCTCAGGACACTGGCAGGTGAAGCTTCCCGGCACATTGAAGCACTCTTGGCTCGGCTGGCAGTCGTGGGTGTCCTGCTCACATTCATCCACGTCTGAGGTCAGCGGCAGAGTGAGCAGAGTGAGGGACACCATCTCACGCACCTCTGCCTTCCACTGCACCCTCAGACACTAGCAGGATCACTTCATGCATTAAACCACAGCAACAGATCCAAAATCCCTGACCACGGAAGACCACGAAAATCAGCATTCCCAGAATTCCTGAATGCCCAAATGCCCATAGAGGACACATGAACTCATCCCCCCCAAACACACCAGTCTCTACTCTACAGCTGCCATCCTTCGGGAACCCGGAATTCCAAGCAGTCCCAGTCATAATCCCATTTTTTGGACCTCTATGAAAGTACAGGTTGCCTTTCACGCCCCCCACTCACCCACACAGCTGTCCCCCTGCAGCTCGTACCCAAGGAGACAGGAGTTTTGCTCCGACTGGTTGGGCGGTTCGGGGGCAGGGATGACGGAGGCGGAGCGCGGGAGGCATAGGTAGCCTCCATAGTGGTTGAAGCACTTCATCTCGCCCTTGCAGGCTTCCGGAATGGTCTCACACTCGTTTATGTCTGATGGAGGAGGAGGGGGGTGCATTACACTAAATGCAGGTTGGGAAAGAGAGGAAGGGTGGGAAAAGGGGTTTCATCCCACCTTTGCAGTGCTTGCTCTCTGGATCCCAGTGGTAGCCATCTGTACATTCCTGTAAAGGAAGGGGAACGATTTGCATTTAGCAGATTCGCTGTGAACAAACTTTTTAAACACGCATTACAGTTTAACTGCACATTCAATACAGATCATCGTAATATAACTGTACACTCAAAACAGCTCAATCGCAAATATCATCTTTTTTTCTGCTGAACTACGAACCTTCGATGTTTTTGAGTCTTAATTACACAATGTGTTGTAATTCTGAAGTAATAAATCTACTTAACTGACAACTGGCAAAACGTTGCAGTACAATGAAGCAATTTGTAACTGAAAGCTAGATGGAAAAATGTGTGGTAATTTTGATCTGGGACTTTTTAAATTTACGGATAGATCAGGATCAGTGAGAGGACGGCTTTGGCCCTGGTCCAGCTGCAGGGAGTTTTACATACAAACATCATTACATATAACCATTAGAATGACTTTGAGGGCAAATGCAAACACCCACCATGTCAGAGTGGGATTCTGAGAGTTTGCTCGTTGTTTGGACCATCATCAGATTATCAAGAACAATCGGCAGATTATCAAGAACAATCAGTAGGTTATCAAGAACAAAATATCCAAAGGAAAATTAAGTCAATGGAGATTAGCATTAGAATGGAGATAGCAAGGCCAAGTTTTGAGTTTAGTTAGTATGGAAATAAACTGTCAGCAACTTTAAATAGGAGTCAAATTATGAAAAGTCCCGTAAATACAAGGGAAAGGTGGAAGGTGAAAAATGATCAGGGTGAAGGACAGGTAACAAGAAACAAGATCTGAAACCTGAGAGATGAACTGAGGTGGGGAAAGTCTGACAAGAGGAAGGATTAAAGGAGAAGACAGGGGGTGTATATAGAGGCGTCCAGGCTGTACACTCCTTACCGTGTAGGTGTCACTTTCTGCGGGGGGCTGTGCGATGGAGCAGGGCAGGAGCAGGGACACGCAGGCACAGAGCAGCAGCGGGGGTGACACGCACACACTCCGCATGCTCACAGCCGGGTGGACAGAGCGCCGGAGGAGGCCGACAAAACGGAGCGATGCCAGAGGGCGGGCAGGCAGGGGGGGGGAGGCTGGCGTCACAGGTGAAAGCAGTCCGTGCTCCCGGTGATCTCGGAATCTGGTGAGAGAGGGGCAGCAGCTTAGAGAGACACCATGAGGGGACTCTGCCAAAAGAAGGGGCGGCTGTGGCTGACTCAGCTGAACACCCAAAGGTTGTTGGCTCCAGTCCCACAAGACACCAGATCCAATAAACAAAAAACCATCAATCTACGTAAACGACTAAATAATGGGTTGCTCTGGATAAACAATTAAATAGTAAATGCGACTGAAAATGCAGGGGTTTTGCGAGGGGGGGGCAAGCTCTGTCTTAATGGCTGCATTACTGTTAATGTACAGAATGTCGAAACTGTCGAGTTGTTTTGGTTTTGGAAGGAACTGCTGACAGGATGTTTTTACAAACTGAACATGTCACGCCCCCGGTGGCCAAATGACTGCAAACGTCATGAAACAGACAAGGCACAGAAAGCAAGAGTCAAACAGGATCTCGTCCCCTATTCAAGTGCCTTTGCTTTCCTTCTTGGCTTCTAAAAAGGGCAAGTTGAGATGATTACTTCACAGCCCACAAGACTGCTCAAAGCCAAAACCAGCTTCCAATTTTTACTCACCCATCAAACCAAGGCCTTAACCTCCTCCTCATCTCCTCCTGCCCTCTGCTACAGAAAATATCTCAACTAACATCAGGAGAGTCAATCTTCTTATCTGCTTTTGCTCCTTGAGGTTCCATCTGCCAGGAGTCAAGGACCAGCTTCATTAGAGACCTTGCTTAGCCTGCACACCAGCTCTCTGGAAGACGTCACAGGTTCACTTCCTCACGCACCACAAGACTGAAAAAGAATTTCTTCCCCAATGTTGCTAAACTGCTCAACACCGTCTGAGCCTCCATCCAATGGCGGGTGTACGCATGCATAGTTATACACACTCATATACACGCATGCATAGTTATACACACTCATATACACGCATGCATAGTTATACACACTCATATACACGCATGCATAGTTATACACACTCACATTCACTTCTTTGAGACTGCATCTGCTATTTTATTGTTATTTTAATTCTCATTACTTCTTAGTTTATTCCTGATCCTATCTTTTCATCATCTGTGATTATTGCACATTCTTTGTTGTGACTAGTGCACCTTATTGCTGTCGTTTGACTGTCTTGGACTTATTAAATACCATCATAATTTTGTCATTTGTTGCTTGCAGTATTTCAATGACAATAAAGCATTCTTTTCTCATTTCAGCTTATCTTATCTTGTCTTATCTTATCTTATAATGGGTATTTCTCAGTACGCGTACTTGACCATACTTGTATTCTCGTGTACCCATTTTATGTCATCTGTCATTGCCAAAAACCAGTTCCTATACTCAAGAACAGAAATACAGGGGACAGGAAAAATCCCCAGATGTCGTTTTTGCTCTTCCCCAAATATCAAGGATACATCGGTTGCATCCTTGCCAAATGAGATCAATCCCATGATTCATTGCTCCCCAAGTTCGTTATTGGAAGGCAACTTAGCAAGACCAGTGACAGTGCCACATGCACACAATTCAGTCATTGAAGGAAACAGCCTACAGTTAGATATGGAAAGTGGTCAGTGTGCTGGTTGGACTGAAGACAGGCAGATGTGGATCCACAAACCCGCCTGTCTGGTCAAACACACACACACAAACACACACACACACACACACCCTGTGGTTTACATAAGTGTCAGCCAAACCTCAGTCCCAGTGCTGACTCAGCTGCTTTTCAAGGTTATTGTCCACACGCACGTACACGTGGGACAGTGCTGTTACCGTCATGATTATAGCCACGAGGCCACAGGACAACGTGCTGGTCGACACGGTCGCTAGGACGCTAGCCTGCACGTAGCACACGTGCCGACCCCCGCAGCGGCACAGCGACACGCTCCAGCATCTCCGAGATCCCGCAGGCCAACTGAGGCTCCCACGGCCCACAGATTCGGATGTACAGTGCTGTGCAAAAGTCAAAGTAAATGTTTAAAGCTATTTATCTGGGTAGTAAGTGTATATTTGCTCTGAAGAAAAACACAATTTAACAATAGCACATGCATATTAAGAGAAACACAGTAAAAGCTAGCAAGAACTTCTTCTGCTCTCCAAAAAATCACTGATATCTTGATGGATGGCTGGAGGAACGATGCTTCAGTTCCCAAAACTCTCCTCAGGAGCCCCTCGGCCATTCCTTCATTTTTGCCACCAACTCACTCCATTACTTAATTTAATTAGTCAAAAAAGTCAATGAGGTGTTGATTAGCCACACGAGGTGTGTTTGTGGTCGAGTCAAAAAATAATATTGGACGGTTGCTACAAACACCGGGGTGATTTTGGAGCAGGTTTTGAAATGATTAAACACTCTCATATCATAGTTTTACACCAATGGGAAGATGATTTAAACATCATTTTCATTGACTGCCTAAGACTTTTGCACACTACTGTACCACGTTTAAATGGAAATGAGAGATACTAAACTGGATCTATTGTTCTGTGTAGGGGAACACTGCAGACCAGTTGCGTAATATCTTGAAGGAACCAATGAAAAAAAAACCAGGCAACTGAAGAAATCCTGCATAACATTATAATTTTTTTCCCAGTAGTTTAATCATAGTGTTCAGTCTAATGCTGGCATAGTCTCGCACCCACAAAATCATCAACATAGCTCTAGACGTTGAACCAAAAGAGGCGCACGGGCAAAGCCTCCGATTGTCCTATCTGCAGCGTCCCCTCTCCTGTCACACCCCGATTGTCCTATCTGCAGCGTCCCCTCTCGTGTCACACCTCCGATTGTCCTATCTGCAGCGTCCCCTCTCGTGTCACACCTCCGATTGCCCTATCTGCAGCGTCCCCTCTCCTGTCACACCTCCGATTGCCCTATCTGCAGCGTCCCCTCTCGTGTCACACCAGTCCCGAGGAAGCAGGCCTCAGCCTTAGAGACACCGCAGAATCGACAGATACCCCTAGAGTCTGCAGAGAGCTTCAAAGGCAGCTTCCCAGAAAAAAAAACAGAAGGAGGAAAAAAAACAACAAAGAAGAACTGGTGAAGACAAACAGGAAACGTGTCCCCCCCCCCAGCCCCCACCCACAGCAGCGGCCGGCAGATGGGGAGTGGAGATCCCAGGGACGCTGCAGGATCCCAGGTCCCATTCACGTGTGCTACTGCGGTCACGCCTTTGGAATCTCAGCAGTCAGGATGTGGCTTCAGACACAGGGCCAGTTGTCATTCAGTCCTGGGGGGGGGGGGGCGAGCAGTGAGTACCCACCGTCCCCCAGACAAAACAATCCTGTGGGTACTTCACACAAAGAGTGCAGTGTCGTCTCCACGGCTGCCACTGGGACCAGCTCAGAGATCCTCGTCTAATTGCCGGTGATCTTCTAACCAGTGCAGGCTCTAAGTGTGGCTTACACAAAGTGGATTGCTGCTTAAATGAATTTAAATTATCATAAGGGAGGACTCTCAGTCATGGCTGTAATGATCCTAGCAGACAGACGTACTGAGGTTCTGCCTCACCAGCCCAGGTCCCAGTAGATCTATGCAGATGATGAGCACCTCTTGTTTTGTTTGTTATCTGGACCTCATAAGGGCTGGATCATTATCTCGGCTTCAGAGGTCGGGTCGTGGGCACTGGAGTGCACAGTCGGCGGCCAGCGGCTCACAGGGACCGAACGTCCCCCGTCACGTCTCCTTGGTGCAATTGAGGTTAAGGTCCTTGATCAAGGGCCCAACGGTGAAGAGATTATTTTTTGGTTGCAGGATTGGAGCCCACAACCTTCTGGACATAAGCACAGACCCTAATTTGCATCCCTTTAGCCGAAGCTGTATGATGACATATCACTCTTCTGGCTGCAGTATAGGCACAGAACACATCTCATACAGAGGCCAAGGGCCCTTGTGAAACAGCGCTCAGTGAGGAGGCCCCCAGCCAACCTGAAGCACCCGTGTGTTTCAAGGCGACGATCCGTCGAGCGCGACTCATTAAGAAAGAAAACACAAATATCGTGATTTGTGGAGGCGTGTCCCACACAGGCCCCGTTTTGTGCTGCGGGAACAGCGGGGCAGTGTTCCCCAGCGCCTCGCCGGGCGCTCGTACGTCACCTGTGGCAACACCTGCCGCTTTGTTTCGCGCTGGCCTGTTGCTATTGGCCGCACCCCTTTACAGGCACAGTGGATAGGTGGGAGGGAGGGGAGCACAAGTAGTGAAAGCCACAAAATGGGCCAACAACAACACAGGGTAAGATCCACCGAGCGGGACTGCAAGACTCCTCTCAAACTTCTCTGCTATTAATGGGTCGATCTGGAGCCTTCTCATTGTAGTGCTGCAGTCGGGCAGTCCGGTGAGGGCATATTGTGCAAGAGGGCCTATTTTTCTCTGGAAGTGAATCAGCCTTTACTGGGAACTGTGACCAAAAGCCTTTGCGGTATTGGTCATGGGGTCCCACACCTGGGCCTCCAGCGAACAGACCCAGCCCTGTAATAGCAGCGGGCAGATGATGCTGGCACCTGGCGGGCCACAGAGCCCGGTCAGTGGGGGTCCGTACTATGGGACCCCTGGCCAGCCGCGGGGCCCGAGACGCCGCAGCGGATCCGGACGGCAGGCGACCCGCTCGCCCCTCCCCCTTCTTCTGGCTGCTGGGTCCAAGACACTTGGACTGCCCGCCCGCCCCCCCACCCCCAGACTTGCTCCATGTCACGTACCACGCTGCTCACTTTTCCCCCCCCCCCATCTCCAATCCCCATGACACCCAGGAAAGCTGTATCCCCTAGCAGCACATGCCGCCTGTCCTACTCACCGGACAGAGTCTCTCCTGCCCTTCCAGAGCCTCTCCTGCCTCTTATGTCTTCGACTGCCTCGCCTCTTTCCTCCCCGACTCCTCCAAGCCTGCCGCAGAGTAGCTTTCGGGCCCCTGCTCGCCACTCCTTTTCCATGAAAATGGAACAGAAGCCTGTCCGCCTCTCACGTGGCCGCGCGCAGCCCGGTCTCTCTCCCTGGCCGTCGGCGGCGTAATCTGCAGGCGCCCTTGGTCTCCGTTCCCTGCCTCTCGGGCCCCTTAAAGAGCGAGCGGGGAGGTCGACGGTACAGTGTGAGTGTGCGAGAGGGAGGAAGAGAAAGGGAGTGTAGAGAAAAAGAAGGCGGCCCGCTCCTACCCCCCTCCAGCTCCCCTGCGCTGCTATCCTCCACCCCCTCGGTCCCCTTTCCTCCCTCCCTGACCCTCCAGGACGTAAATTCCTGGTCTGTGGCCCAAATTCCGAAACTCCACATCCGTCTTCTTTGCAGGCGGAACAACAGTGCACAGATTCACCCCCCCCCCCAGCCCCGTTCTGTGACACACCTGGTTTCATTTAACTACCCCCCCCGCAACCCCCCCCCCCATGCTTCACCACCTCTCAATGTCTGGCCACCACAGGCACCCAGTCACCCCCTATCTCTTCTCCCCCTTCACTGGGAGATGGTAGGATATTTATAGTTTGAGAGCGAGGCTCAAGGAATGTGAACCAACATCAGAAAGAGAGAGTGAGGGGAAGAGGGGAGAGAGGGAGCAGCGCACATCTTACAGGAAAAGCGTTTTATTTTTATGCCCAAATATTTGAACAGGACCGTGTGGATGATAAGCTTCGGTATAGATCAGTGACAGTCACGGCTCAGCTGGATTTCAGACAAACAAACTCTGTGCTCACTCTGGACAGTATTACACCACCAGGCAGGAATAATCCCTGCAACAGCAACATATTCCAGCGAAAATGACTTAAAACCATCTGTAAACCATGTGTCACGCAAGTAACTGTTTACACAGCACCAGGCACGGACATGCTGTAATATATATTCACTGACCTGATCTTATTTCTCTTAAAATCGCTGAGCTTGCCGAGTTGTTAGATAGCCCCAACTCCGTAGCGGTGCCAAGACGTTGCACCCCCTCCCGTTACACATATGCATTCATGCGGCACCTCTGCCCTCTTTCAGAGTGCCATTCGTATAACAGGAACGAGTACCCAGGTATGCCAGTATTTACTATGCTGTTACTCAGGCATGTTTCTCTCTCTATGCTGTAAAAATTATTTTACAAATAAAACACTATATAACAGGGGTCCTCATGGTCTGGCCTGTGGCCCGTATGCAGACTGCACCGCAAGTTACCAGCCGATAATGCACAATATCAATCAATAAAGTTAACATAAAAACGCTTAACGTGGTTCTAAGTACAAAAATAGAATGTAGAACCACCAAACTTCATACACACATAACTCGTCATATCCCCCCCCCAACAGAATGTCGTGAATATTAAGCCAGTCTTTACGTTACGTTCCCACTATTACTACTCTTGATTTCTAATTCACAAAATTATCGTTAACTCATTAAAGTTTACGAAATGCTGCTTTCTTTTATTTAAAATTGTTCCAGACCTCTGACTTAAATCTAATGTGGACCTCTGCTCAAAAAGTTTGAGAACCCCTGCTAAACAACATCTAGTGTTGTTCAGAGTTTAGCATTACCTTGTGAGGTAATTTCAGTAATCGCTTTGAACTTGAATGTGATAGGACAGCACCAGAGTTTTGGAGCAGTAAGTATTCGTTACCGTGCGTTACATTCAATACCACTGCCACCTCATGTCCTGAGGGGCACACTCTGTAAACAGCACACAGCAACGCCGAATCAAGCTCTTTTATTCAGGCAGGTCACAGTTTACAGTGGGGGCAGTGGGCATGTATTTACAAGCACATGGAGCTAATTGGATAGAATTCGAAAGAGGGTGGAGCCAAAGAAGCAGGCAACGTGTGATTGGAGGGTTATGGGGATCAACATTTGGGGCAAAATTAAATAAAGGGGGACATTAAGGAAATTATAGAAGCAGGGGAAATGAGAAGAGGCTAGGTGTCAGCTGAGGACTTTATACATTATTAAACGAGAGAACGGCAGGGTCAGCAGAAGTCAAACTAGTCATGGTACATCTTTAGGATGCAGCTCTTGATGACATCCATGTATCTGTCCCACGTTACCTGGTGCCTGGAAAGAGGAGGGAAGGGAAAACATCAGTACAACAGACTCTAACCTGGCTAAGCAGTGAGAGCAGGAATATTCCTGCGTAAACCTTCAGCCACGTTTCAGAATGGACAAACTGCAAGCTGTAATTGACCCCAAGTGGAAAAACAGGGCAATTACACACCAAAAAAAAAAAAAACACAAACAGCGCCACCCACTGGCGCCAAACGCCACTACGGGGCTCAGGGACGAAGCCGCTTTGCAGGGAGCAGCAGAGCAGATCCTGATTACATGAGCGGACATTCAGTATGGCGGGAACATGCAGGGGCGGCAGAGGAAAGACAGACTGACCTAAAGGTGTCGAGGGTACGCGCCGAGTTGGTGTAGTAAGTGAGGAAGAGCCTGACGTCTGCGGACGTCCAGCGGTCCGACCGGCAGGGCTCGATGAACTGGCGGGGGGAGGGAGGGAACGATGTGGGGAAACAGGGACAGACCCAAGAGAGCCCAACAAAACAAACAGGGAAAAAAACAACGTACTCCATGCATGCACTGTCTACATACATACACACACACACACACACACACACACACATATATATATATATATATATATATATATATATATATATATATATATATATATATAGTGGCCATTCTGTAAGGGCAATATAGAGAAACACTAAAAGTATTTTTAAACATTTCCATTTATAGAAACTGATACTTAATTGCAATTTAGGCCCCAGGAGTGGCACTGCTTGTATGTTTTTAAGGAGAGCAATTCAGGTTAACTGCCACTTAAAACAATTACAGACTAAAGTAAGATGCTTTGGATAAAAGCCTTTAGCTAATGTGCATAAGCATTAGAGTGAAACTGCAATCCTGGCACCTCCTGAGTTTACATTTGCATAGATTGTGACTGCAAGGCTGCCTGCTAAACCATGCAACTATCAGGACACACTGGGAGCAGAAATATGCAACATACCTTCTCCACAAGGTCAATAAACAGGTCTCTGACATCTTTTGTGTTTGTTAGTTTGGCAGCAATGTTGACCAGGGCTCTGGAAAGGGTCTGTGAGACAGAAGGTGGAGAAAGAGTAATATGTTTGTAAAATGCTAACATCATTTTGTTAAGCTTTGACAATGATGAGAATATCTGTTAAACACAGCGCCATTTTGTCAGGACTGTGCATGGAGCAGCATGCATTGTTTTAGTGTCAGAATTTAGAGACGTCATAGCTTTCACCTTGAAGTTTGCTTCCATCTCGTTGAACACTTTCGTTTTTCCCCTGAGAGCAGTGCACACAAGGCTGAGCATGAGAGAATAAAGACATTAAAAGAGAAGAGACAACAAATCATCTCAGGCCAATGACACACACACAACCAATGTGGTCCTCAATTTAGTCCCAATCTCACACCAAACTAACACAGACCTCTGAGGTCTTCACTTTGCTTCTAAGCCATTTTGTGCTGTGGGGTTTAACTAAGTTCCAGAAAACAAGATTATCCACAACTTCTCTAAAAGAAAGGTCAGATATGCATCACATTAACTCACCCGCATAAATACAGTGGTAAAATCCAATCAAAACATAGCCTTAGTGTCAAAAAGTCCACCTTTTACATAATAATAAGGGAAATGTCAAAGAAACTAATCCATCCATCCATCCATTGTCCAACCCGCTTATCCTAAGGGGGGTCCGGAGCCTATCCCGGAAGCAATGGGCACGAGGCAGGGAACAACCCTGGATGGGGGGCCAGCCCATCGCAGGGCACACTCACACACCATTCACTCACACATGCACACCTAAGGGCAATATAGTAACTCCAATTAGCCTCAGCATGTCTTTGGACTGTGGGGGGAAACCGGAGTACCCGGAGGAAACCCCACGATGACACGGGGAGAACATGCAAACTCCACACACATGTGACCCAAGCGGAGACTCAAACCCAGGTCCCAGAGGTGTGAGGCAACAGTGCTAACCACTGCACCACCCCCAGAAACTAATCCAGAAATAAATATTCGAATTAAAGTGAACTTAGCTATTCTCTGGTGAATAGGTAAAGTATCAAAGGCAAACAGTCGACATAGCATAAAAAGCCGTATCAACATTTGAAAAATTAAATAACAATTAGGAAAAAAGTTTCAGTGAAGCTGAAGTACCCCACATCTCGACAAAACATTGCATAAGTTGACAAGAATGTGAATTGCATTAAGCAGAAGTAAATAAAGTTTCACTTGAAAATATAATAATACAGTGGTGAAAAACACTGGTGAAAACAGGATTCACTACAATGGGAATTCAGGGCATTATGCCCTGCTGACGCAACAGGAGCACAGGTGCTGATGATCACATGCTTTCTGGGCTACAAGTAACCATATCCAAAATATGGATGAGTGGTTTATGAAAAGTTACATTTACTTTGCAGAACACAGAGCACTTCAGAATGAATGATACAGGCCCATAAATCACAAATCTTTAAACAAAAGTTAACACATCAGAATATAGAATATGATCATAATTTTATATTCAAATTTTATGCACCTATTAATTATAACACTCACCTCTTGTGTTGATCAAGCAAGTCCTTATCATTAATTAAAATCTTCAGATCTTTCAGATCTTGCAAGAACTCCTTATCCAAGTCCACATCCATATCCTCCACCATGTTATCTGAAGATGTTATGATACACATTTATGAAGATACCTTTTTTTTCCCCAACTACAATTCTGTTTAAAACGTTCCCAAGCAAAATGACCTTAAATTTTTCATTATGCTACCAACCAAAGGAATGAAGCATAAATTACAAACAATTGTAATTGTTTATTCACAATAAGAGACACATTCATAATTTGTACTGAACCTCACTGGTACATATTGGATGCTTTTCCTTGGCCTGCTTGTTCAGAAGCTGCCTCACTGCCCCTGATTCAGTATCTCTCTCCAGCTGCTGCATCTTACCTACTGCCCCCACGGTCCAGTTACTGATGAGCTGCCCGGCACAGAAGGCGAAGTCCTGGAAAGAAAGGAACTGCAGCTTCCTCTTCCCCGTCTCAAAGCGGTTATTCGCAAAGAACACGATGGCAGCGTAGTCTCTAGAAAGGGGACAGAAAAGGGGAGGGGGGCAATGGTCTATGAGAAATTACCGGAGAAATCGGTGATGCTTTGCATTAACTGGTCCTTCACAGTGCCTTTTTCATGCATTCGTAGAACATTCAGTGCACCTTCATAATGCAATCATATAACATTCAGTGCACCTTCATAATGCAATCATAGAACATTCAGTGCACCTTCATAATGCAATCATANTCATATAACATTCATTGCACCTTCATAATGCATTCAGAGAACATTAATAAGCCGCATGTAAGTACCTTAACATCCTAACATACTTTAACAGCTTTAATATACATTAATAACAAATATGACAATAACAAACATAAATGCATAATCAAATACTGTATGTTCATTAATGTACATTAAAGCTGTGAAGGTATGTTAGGATGCTAAGGTACACTTACATGCTGCTTATGAATATTCTATCAATGCATTACGAAGGTGCGGTTAATGTAAAGCGTGACCGGGAAATCAGGCCACATCAGGCAGATATATGGGGTGGATAATTATCCCAAAAAGCAGGTGGCAATGTCCAATACATCATGATGTAAATGAATTAGTCACCTGGCTAGCTTGTCTGACAGAAGAAAGTGCTGCTGTATATTCTCCACCAGGGGGCCTTTGAGCTCTTCGACGACTTTAAACACACGCTTGAAATTATCGAACTGTGAAAGACAAGGCAATGAACTCAAGTGCATGCACCTTTCTATTAGTCACCAAACTATCCGTTTATCATAATACATTAGATACAAAGTATCATCCATCTCTCATACCTGGCGCCTACAGCTTTTGAGGGTGATCCCAGTCTTCGCACTAATATCGTCCAGGTCTTTCTTGGTTCCTTTCGAGAGCTTTTTTCCCAGCACCTCGCGCACGAATGCGTTGTCAAAGGCATAGTACCTACGCAGCCCGAGATCAGCGTTAACGTGCAAAGTGCGAGCAAATGCATGGCAGAGTTGCCTCCCATCACCATTAAACGGATTCACTAGTTCTCACGTTTATGAGGCACGCTAGTTTTTAAGTTACCACCATTACCGTGAATATTCCATCCATCCATATTCTGTATCCCCATGTCCTATGCACAGGTGTGGGGGTCAGGAGCCTATCGTGGAAGTTATGGGTGGAAGGCAGGGAATAACCTAGGATGGGGCGCCAACCCCTCACGGGTCACACTCACAAACAACATTCGCACCTACGGACAATTTGGCAACACAGTCAATATTATATAAAGTAAAATGAATGAAGAACAATCAAGAAATTATGTAGTGCAAAATGGCACAGAAACCTTATTTTTGCCCCATCTTCCAATAACTTCAGATATACCCTGATTCAGACAAACAGACACACCGATCTACCCTCTTTAATACTGACATTAGACATGTGTGTGACACACAAAAAAAGACACACTGATACAGAAAAACACACAGGTAACACACCAGTGTTCCTCAAACCAGTACTCCAGGACCCCCAGACAGTCCATGTTTTTGCTCTCCCCTAATTCCCTGGGAGTTGGGAGGCAGCAAAAACGTGGATCTTGGGGAGCCCCTCGAGGACTGGTTTGAGAAACACTGCAATACACACTGCCATACACACTGCAAAGTCCAAACAGAGAAACAAAACCTGAAGACACAGAGACGCTGATCTGAGATACAATCACAGATAGGTAAAGGCGAACCTCTCGATCAGCATGGTTTGCCGATGGGGCGGGATCTGAAAGAGAAGCTGATTGGCCAGTTTGGCAGGTGTGTGCAAGAGCCGCTCGCACATCTGGAAGGTGCGGAACTGGTCCATGGTGTCACTGAGCAGCACGTCGGTGCTCGCCTCATATTCTTCCAGCACTCCTCCTTCCATCCGCACCTTCACGGCGTCATTCACTTGGAGAGGGAGCACATGCAGACAGCCAGTCAAGTGGGTCCTTCAGCCTAGCCTGCTTTGCCTGCATTTTTAAATGTGTACAAGTGTGCTTTGCAATGTGCATGTTACATATGCGTGAGGGACAAACCTGTATAACCATCCAGCCAAAACTGATAGACCTCTTCATCCATGATAGTGGTGTTTCCCACAAACACATCAAGCTCTACAGACATCTTTGTAACAGCACAGGAGCATATGAGGTGGCGTCAGGTTTACCGAGTTTCAGTATTACTAAAACAAATAGTATACTCCCAGGTTTGCAACTTGTTTATGCATGTAATAATCCTGAATACAAAAACTGTACCATTTTCGACGTGCAATCCTGAAAAATATACATTTCGCTTCAAAACAAAAAATCAAACAGCAATAAATACACTAATAAACGAAACCATATACATGTCTTCTGCGAAACATGTATCTTTACTCTTTGCAATACGACTTCACAAAACATATATTAAAAGTCCAACATAAAACTAACTGGTTAATGTCGCTAGCTAGACAGATTAACTAGACTTTAGTTAAATCCTTACCTTCAACGTGTTCTTGTTTTAGTTTTAACTAATGATGGGTTATCACTATTTCTATACACCAAAGGTACAGTGAAGTAATAATAATACTTCATATATGAGGGTAAAATATCGGATCGAGTTAATTAAAGAAACCCTTGCTTGAAGCAGTATCTGGAGAGCTAGCTAACTAATACGGAGACCATGATGTATATTAAATGGCAGTTGTGATATATAAGATATGCCCATTCGGAAAAATAAATTCGCTGTATTATAAAAACAGATATTATAATTGCAGTTATCTCATGTCAGTTCCGGGCCGTTGTCAGTGAAACACACCGTCCGATGGTGTTTCTGTTGCCACTGAATGTTGGTTCCTGTTTAGAACATAGAACTACATAAACTAGAAGGGCGACAACAACATAGACCGCATCACCGGAAGTGCCGCTTGAGGGCACTGTACCAGTAGGAGAAATGACGTTTTAAATCACAAAGAATACGCTAAAGTAATTCTCCAACACCTTGTTTTTTAAAGATAGACAATGTTTTTTTTTCCAAATTGCAACAAAAAGTATCTTGAGAGTGATACTCATTGAGTGAATTTCAGAAGCAGTGTTGTATAGTAAGTTGTATATTTTAACACAGCCGTTTATATTATATAATTAATAAACATTGGCCTATACGAGTTAAATAACACATTTTCTTTTTTGTTTTACCTGATTTACAGAAATACAGCCAACCTAACTGCCTTGATTAGATCCTATAGAATGCATATGTATTAACTTCATGGCAAACAATGTTTATCGTAGTTAACGTGCGTTTTAAAAAGCAATTCTTATTGATATCTAACCAATGAATTTAAAATTTTAGACAGCAATTTTTCAGACAACAATATTAGAGTTTTAAAAATATTCTACCATTTAAATGAATCAACTTCAATCGAAATTGCAATTAATGCATCCTATCATGGGTGCTGTCTTATCCAGTATAAGTAAGAAAATCAGAACTCGGTAAGCACAAAAAAAATCTTGATAAAATTATTGCTTACGTACATCCATCAGTCCAGCTTCCAATGCTGATTCTCGTCAGTGCCGGTGTTATACCGGGACATTGCTGTGAAAATACCAATAAGTATGCCTGGGTGCAGTGTTCGCCATATTTCTGTCTTCAACGGTTGCGTTTGTATTCTACTTCAGAATTATATGGTACTTCTATATCATTTGCTGTGACACTGTATGCCATCAGAGCGATGCACGGGGAATGTGTTTTCGGATGTTGAAGAGGTTTGGAGTTTAAGAAGTTAAAAAATATATATTTTGAGGAAATATTTGTTATTCTATTTTAATTAAATAGGTTAAAAATACATTCTTTCATTTGTGTGCCAAATACATAGCCTATTGAATGTATCATTTGTATCAACGGTTTTAAGTCGCTCATGGAAAAGAGCGTCTGCTAAATGCTGTAAATGTAAATATAATTTGCATGACTTACAGCAAATCATACATTTCAGTATTAACACCAGACGTACAGTAGTACTTTGCGAGTTACATCTTTAACATCATGACCGTGGGTCAGAAGCGCTTAATGATATGACCACTCCAGATGTTAATTTGACTGCCTTGGAAGTACGTACGTTGACCTGTTAATTTGTTTTATACAATGAATAAATGTTAACATTAATACGTACTGTATTAACACAGTGGACACGTTTTCTTAAACATGTTGTCACACATGACTGGACTGGCTTGGCCATCTGGCAATCCGGTTTGCTGATGGGTATGTGAGGCGACGAAATGTATCGTTATTTTATATCTGTCTCACTCGCAGCACATCTATATTAATTCGTCTACAGGAGTTATAAGGGTTTTCAGATGGATCTTTACGGTGCTGCAGTGTCTGTCTATTTCTGAGTTCCATATTCTTGCCTGTGCTGCAGTACGTACGTGGCACATAAGCTGTAGGCTATGAAAAGGTGCACAAAGGACAATGCAGTTTTTATTATGAAGTTAATTACAATCTCACTTTCTATGCAGGATATATCGATTCATCTCTCTGAAAACAATTTGAAAAAACAGTATCGCACATGGAGTAACCAGTGTCTGTCTATATAGTTACAGGACTGTAATTGTGCTCATTTGACTTTGACTTTTTCTTCTTACGGCATTTTGAAACCACAGCCAAGCAATATTAATCGTCTTATACTGATTACAAATTAGGATGCATAAGAACAATTGTGTTTCTGAGAGCTTAAACTCTACCGCCAGATATTTAGATATTGTATAATCTGGTAGCCAAGTAAGCACACTTGGATCGATAGGTATTGCCTAAACTATTATCAAACCAACCTACCATCCTTTTTGTATTGTAAAATATACTACATAGCTAAGTTATTTTATTTCTTCTCTTATTTACTAACCTGTTATTGTACACGCTCCACACCAGTTCTCAATTAATTGCCCCCAACCCCCACAGTTCTACCCATTACCTCCAGCCCTCTGTCAGTTGATAACACCCCATATTGTTATGGAGTTACTGTGACAATGGAGTAGGAGTGACTGGTGGAAGGAAGCGGTCAAATACCTCTGCTAGGCAGAGAATAGTTTATTGTCACACTTTCCGTTTGAGTCTGTATGTGTGTGCGTATCATGTCGGCATGTTGGGAGGTTAATGTGGTTTTTATGTAGAGTCTTAAATCCATTCCTGTGTCCAACTCAGTAACATTGGAAGGATATCGCTACTGCAATCAAGTAAAAAGCGATAAGAATTGTCGGTGTGGAAGAAATAAACTTTATTATCCCCACTGCAACCTTCTCCAAAAACATTTACTTGTCTGTGTCTGTTTCTAAAACTACATACAGCATCGTTTTCTTAAGGCAGCGAGTTTTCAAAATTAGGCTCCTTATTTGATAATTGGAAATTTGAAAATACCTCCCCAAGTGCAGCAATGTTATTTCTTTCGCAGTTAATAAAACATAAAATACACGTTGCCGTAAAGGGAAGGCGATGGGGGGCAGGGGGGGGTGGGGCGGATGGGGCGAGGGAGAGGGGGACACAGGGAGAGGGGGCGACATTTCTAATAACACCTTCACCACAACAGGAGGAAACATGCAATAGAATGTGAATAAATATTTGCGTTTTAGTAAAAAATGTCTGTTTTTTAAATAGTAAACAGGACAGTTGCGAAACATTTTATCCATATAAATCATAGAATATTTTACCTGCACGATTTCCTGCATTTTTTTCGATACAAATAGAAGTAGCAATACATCGATTTATCCTGTCCTACATTTTTACGCTCCGCGGTTATTTCACATTTTTTGGAAAATCGTCTGGCAAACTGGAAATTTCTAAACACCAGCAAAAATAGGGCATCCATCTTTACAGCATTTGAATTAGCGAAACCCGAGGGAGAAGAGGAAGGGGAAAGGAACAGCGGACATTGTGTTCACTGACCACCGACCGGCACTGAAATATCGGCCCAGGTTTGGACGCATCGCCATTTATTCTTTGCTTATTTGTTTGTATGATGTGACTGGGTATGAAGTTGGCTTTGGGGCGCATCTTTACCTTTAAAGGGACATCCGATTCACTCATATTGTGCATCCATGAGAAAGGCAGGGTACATTTACGACTGCGATAACTAGACGCTGACATCAACTATTTTCTTTTATGGCTGCCTAGTTTTTAGTAAACAGTGCATCTGCAGTCAATTAAACGGCACAAATGTACAGCAAAACAAAGCCGCCCTTCCCATCCTCGGTTTAAGACTGGAATGGGGTGCATTGAATAACCCACTTTCACTAGAGGCCTCGGGAAAGAGGAGGAAGAAGAGTGACAAAGGAGCTTAATGGTAAAGATACGATTTAACACAAAGCAGGGAAAATGTATGTTGTGCATTTAAAATAATTGGCGCTATATCGTGGAAAAAAATTTGTAAGAAAATTTCAGCATTCAAGTTATTGATGGGCTTGTTTTCTGTAGGTCGCTGCACATCTCTTCGTCCACTCCAAACATCCGCGTTTTTCATAATATTTATCAGGGATCTGACGTGAAATATATAATTAATGGGGAGCGACGGGGAAATATACAGCCAAGAACTGTCGAAGATGTCTGACGAGGACTTGCTGGCCTGTTCCAAAGAGGAGCTTATCAGTCGACTTCGCAAAGAGGAGTCCGATAAGATATCAGCTCTGATCCAGCGTGGTCGGCTGATCAAAGAGGTCAACAAGCAGTTACAGGGACATCTTCTGGAAATCCGGGAGCTGAAAGTGATCAACCAGCGCCTTCAGGAAGAGAACCAAGAACTGCGTGACTTGTGCTGCTTTCTGGATGACGACCGGCTGAAGGTGAAGAAGCTTGCTCGGGAATGGCAATTGTTTGGGCACCACGCCGCCAAAGTGATGCGCGAGGATCTGGGTGGATACCTCAAGAAGCTTTCCGACCTTGAGCGACTGCAAGACGGCCTGGTGAAAGAGAACTTGGACCTCAAGGAACTATGCTTAGTGCTGGAGGAGGAATGTGTCAGCAGGAGCGATTCGAGTCCTGGAGGCTCCACAGAGCTGAATTTGCCCTGTATGGTTGCACGAGACTTGGGTGACGGCAGCTCCAGTACTGGGAGTGTTGGTAGTCCAGATCAGCTGCACCTGGTTTGCTCGCCTGATGACTAAAGAGCTTATTGCTCAAAAGAAGATCCATGTCCTGGAAAATAAATCAGAATCAGGAAATTAGTGGAAGATTTTATGCCAACACCAAGAAAATGTAGGCCTCTTCCATACAGTAATCATTTTAGATCATAGACTTCAATTTTTGTGATATAATGGCTTCCTGAAGACGTTTGTTTCTTTGGGCATTTGGACTTGACAAATAATTAAGCCCTATAAAGTTTAAAGAGGACAATGGTAAGAAATAATTGATTGGTATCTGAATCAAACTGGGCAGAGCAGTAGCTACAAAAAAGGCTGCACTGGATGGGGTTAGTGGATATGCCTTTAATCACAGACTTTTTAAAAATCCTAATGTGAATGATTTATTGCTGATGCAAATTTGTTAATTTGTTATATGGGGGGGGGGGTCTTTTAATGGGGTTGTATAAAAGTTTGTGAAGGGGGTTACATAAAGGGTGGGAATCAGATTAAAAAGTTTACTTTATAAAGGCGTTATAAACCATAATACTGAACTAGACCAGGTTTAATTGCTTGTACTGCACTGTCTTGATTAGACTATACTGGACTCTCATGCACTGTAATAGACAAAGCCAGATTGTGGAATCATACTGGATTAAAACGTTTTAAATCTGCTGAAAGCCAGGCTGTGGATGTTTACAAGAGGGCAAAGTCAGGAGGAACTGAAGTAGATTATCCTGGGAAAACAGGCATCAAATCCAACATATACAGATGGCATATTCACAATGTACATGTGGCAGAATAAGACAGAATAAAATCTCCTCACCACTGAAAATCTACTTTGTGAAACACTGTTTGCACTGCATCTGGAATGTGGTCATGTCATCTTGTGGCCAGGTGTCAAGAAAAGATCATGTTTTTCCAGGATACATCTCTCTCTCTCTTGGTTGGAAAATTGAATGGAGTGTACCATAGTAACTTGCATTATGCATTGTAGTGAATGAACTGATGCAGCATGATGTTGGTCTAAGCTCAGCTGTTACACCCACATTGCACTGAATACCTATACAATGCTTTTACGGTGCAATAGCGCACATTTGTGCTAAACCATGCTTTGTAGTTGTAAAATGGAACTGGAAGAGTATAATGCACAAACACTGGGAATCTCTGGATGCAAATGATGTCGCAGTGACAATTATTCTGTGCTCATTTGTTGTTTTTAAGAGCACTGCTAAGTGTTAATTACTATTGTTAGATTTACATTATTATTATTGCTACTACTAATATTACTGCTACTGCAACTATTGGTATTACCTTTGTTGTGTTATTTTTGTGTTCCCATTTAGGTTATTATTGAGTTTATTTTATGAATTGGTGTTGTTTTGTGTTCAAGTCTTTTACAAGATATTCACCCCCATCAGTATTATTTGAATGATTATATTTTTGTTTTTAGAGACTCCAGTCTGAAATGGCTGTATCGCTGGCTTCTGCTTATGGGCACCGATGATGACAATGGGAAGAGCTTTAAATACAGTGACAGAGTCACACAACATTCTCACGTGGTCTTTGTGTCATGATTGATCGCCCGCCAGGATGAAAGCATGGAGAGATGTGCTTTATGATTGATTACAGTTTAACTCCTGCCTGAGTGTTAGGGGGACGTTACTCTTAGAGTAAGCCTGTGGCAGATCAATGTCTCAGATTCTCAGCTTTCCTCTGAGAATTAATAGTGTTCTTTTTATCCCTCAATTACCATCCCTTTTCAGATAGGAATGCATATTCATCTTTTGGCTAAATCTCTTCTCCAGTGGTGCAGGTTCCAAAGTTAATCCAGATCTTATGGACCAAGGTCACTTAATTTAGAGAGAGAAATAGGGAAGTCTGTATCCAGGGCCTGAAGTCACATTAATTAATTCCAGCATTATCCTTTCTCCATTTCCGTCCTTCTCTTCTTCTCGCCCTCTGTTACTACCATACAATTTCTGCTTTTTGCTCCCTTCTTTCCTGTTCTCAACAGTGTCTCCCGTCTACAGACATTTAAACCCCCACCCTGCTTATAACTTTAGCCTGTACTGTCCTTTTGACTTGGGGTGCTGCTGACAGAGGTGGAAAGTTCAGGTCCGGAAAGTAGAAATCCAGACAAAGAGTTTGTTTCCACCAACCAGTTGAGTATAATGAGTCGGTCAGTACTCAGCTGGCTGGTTGAAGTAAACTTTTGGTCTGGATTTTTCATTCCTGGACCTGAACTAGGGGGCAGCATGGTGGTCCAGTGGTTAGCAGTGTTCCCTCACACCTCTGGGACCAGGGGTCAAGTCTCCACTAGGTTTCCATGTGTGTGGAGTTTAGATGTTCTCTACCGTGTCGTCATGGGGTTTCCTCTGGCTGCTCCCATTTCCCCCCACAGTCCAAAAACATGCTGAAGTTAATTGGAGTTACCAAAGTGCCCATAGGTGTGCATGTGTGAGTGAATGGTGTGTCAGTGTGTCCTGTGATGGGTTGGCACCCCATCCTAGATTGTGCTTGTAGCCTCCAGGATAGGCTCCAGACCCCCCGTGACCCTGAATAGAACAAGCTGTTACAGAAAATGGATGGATGGATGGACCTGAACTATCCATCTCTGGACTGCTGCATATCTGCTTTGATCTGCAACACATTTATTCAGCTAAATATTTTCCAAAGCTATCAATGCTGCATGCAGGACTTGTATAGTGAAGATGACATACTCCATATTTAAAATATGGGTCATAGGCTCGGTTCCAGTTTACTGAGAAAGATGGACTCGACTTGTCTAGGTTATTGATCTATACATTCCTCCCATCGCTTGTAACCACAACCTCAAAAACCCCACCCACATCTGCTGCATTTGCTCCTCTTTTTGTGTCTCATCTAGCTCCTCCAGTATATCTAGCTCGGTATACAAAAAGTATGTTTAACAGTTACTATAACCCAACACTGGGGAAGTGGTTATGAAAGATGAATGAATGGATGTTTTCTGGAGATGAAGAGAATGTACTGCGTGTGTTTCTCTGTGAATTCTGCGGTCTACTCAGGACATCCTAAAAGGAAGTTGCAAGCTGACATGCTCCTTTCTCCTCAGAACATCCCTGCTCGTTGTCTTCAAGAAATATCAGTATCACCATGAAATGTATGGTTTTAAATTGCCCTGAAGCCTTTAAGGGTAACGTTATACCAAACATGAAAATACATGTTAACTAGATGCCATATTTCTGTGGAAATGGTAGTATAGCCATGTGTGTGCACCTACAACCTTAAGGGATGAGTTGGTTTAAATAGACGTCATACTCCCAGGACACACAAACAGAGTTATTTTCAGCTTCTTTAATTTGTCATTTACAAGTGGAATACTGCAGTCATGTATTCACAAACATGCATTACCTCCATATCTCAGTCAAATGAAAAACAATAATACAAAGTAAAATGCTCTCATGTAAAGGTCCTGCCTTAGTACATTTTGATTCAATCTGTTAAAAAATCTAGAACGTTCTCTGAAAATGTTCTTGTATATCACGACAGTGTGGAAGTATGTGCAAATTAATGTGCAAAAGTGAGCAACATGCCAATTTTTTTTTCAGACAACAACCTAAGAGAGAAAACACTCTTATGATGACTATCGTGCTGTTATTTGAGATTTCTGTATAAATGCATGGCATTTTGTATATTATTTACCTTTCACATGATGAGTTTTTCATGTCCTCCATTCTTAATACAAAACTAACTAAACTTCTACATAGCAAGAAAGCAAAAGTTATCAATCGCTTTTCATTTTCCCATCACAGCTTAGATATTACACTCTACTTAAAATACTGTCCTATGTATTGTAGTGCTATAACTTAAAGAATAAGGCTAAATGAAGTTAATAACTTCTAATAACTATTAGCTAAAGGATTGCATATGCCAGATGTACTTAACATGCATTATTATATCCCCGTATGATAACTAGGCAGAACAATGTGGGTGTCCTCTTTATAATTCATATATTAGTTATTGCTAGTAAATAATATAACATAATAGCCACTTCCAAACCTAGTATAAACTGTTCTTTGTGAGCAAAGACTTAAGTAAAAATGAAATGTCGCTGCTTATAACTGTTATCTTCAGCGCCATCTCCTGGTAACTGCCTGTTGCTACAGTGGGTGTCCATCCATCACAAAGTGAGGATGGTGGGAGAGTTAAGGGAGTGGTCTGACGACTGATCCCCGCTGCTGCTGCTGCGGCGATGGGCTACGCTACAAGGGTGGGGGACAGAGGAAGAAGAGGCGAGGAGGCTGAGATGGTGGGCGGTGGCAGCTGCTGATGCATCCAGTGGGGCAGATGGGTAGGTGAAAACAAGGTTGGCCGAGGTGTTTGGAGAGGGTGTTGATATAAGGATAGGGGTATGCAGGGAATCAGACTCAGCGGGCAGAGCTGACGCAGAAGAGGAAGAAGAGGCAGGGACTGTGGATGGGAGGATTATCTTGGGTTTAGGCTTGTCCTGCCTGATTGATGGCCCAGGTAGATCTGGATCCTCGCGTTCAATTTTCACAGCCCCAAGCAAAAACGGCTGCGGGTCTGGGTCAGAGTCAGAGTCTGAGTCTGAGTCTTCGATCTTGCAAATAGGCCGATGGGCTTCCAGGACCAGCTCCAGCTTCTCCTTCTCCTTCTCTAGCTCAGAGATCTCTTTCTGCAAACTGGTCTTATCGCTTTCCAATTGGTCAGTCTCCTGTGAAAAGAAGGGAGGAGCACAGAGTGATAGTCGGGTCACGCGCATGTAACACGGGTCTAATAGGGGTTCCTCCAGCTCTGGGGTTTTCCAGTAACTTAATGCTATATGCTGAAATACAGTGAAATGATGATACAATTAAGCTTGAAGAAATTATTGTTTACCTTTGAATGTTTACCTTTGTGAAACGTAATGCTACCCGTTAGACAGATGAGGATTTGCCAATCCCATTTACTGGCAAGAATTTCATTAATTGGGTTGTACTCACATTCTGAAGAGTGTCTGTCAGCTCACGCCGGCGGTTCCGGCACTTGGCAGCAGCCAATTTGTTCCTCTCCCTTCGCATTCTTCGTCTTTCAAGTTCCTCTGGGGACAACTGGATGAGGATTATATGAGACGAAAATGTTATGTACTGTTAGGGTATGGCACAAACATTTAGTTTATAATAATAATAAATGTGCTCGTTTTTAAAATAAGGAAAAAGCAAGCATATATTTAATTATTATTACAGTCCTCGGAAACAAATTGTTGAAAAACAACTGCTGAACTTATGTTTGTGTATAATATGGTACACATAAGAGGGTAACAGCGTCATCTAGTGACTATAATATATTACTACACCTTAAACTGCAAACATGTTTTAGAACGCCTTGTTTTTGCTTTGTCATTTACACGTTTTGTTGTTACTTCCATCTTATCTCATTCATAATTTAATCGTCTGCTCCTTATTTTTTCCCGTCTTTATGAGCAATGACTCACGTTCAGGCTACTGTGACTCAGGTGTGAGTCATATGACCAGCCCTGATGAGTCACATGACAGCACACTTCCTGTCCCATCATTCTCAATCCCGTAACGAGTACTTCATATGTCACATGTTGAATTTGAAACCTTTATTTCTAAGCATTTTTATGAAAAACCCATATATCTATATATAAAAAATAGAGCTTCTGATTTTACAACCTATTGTTTTCACAGAGCAGGAGGCAGTTGATATAATAATGAAATTACACTTTCTGGCTGAATTACAACAAACAACTTATTATCAGCCTATAACCCATAAACATTTAACTACAGATTTTACTGGAGAGATAAGGCTTCCCTTGTGTGTTGATTTACACATTTTTTTCCCACTAATTTGAAATTTATATCTTGCCACATATAGTATCTAAGTAAATCGCTTTGAGTGTGTAAACATGTAATGTATAAATTTCTCTCAAATAAGAAATGCTATTTTTAGTTGGAATTACTCTCAGCCTTCTTTGTACGATTCCTCTGTATGTCACTTAATCCAAACAGCTACCCAGCCTCCTCACAGCTCAAAAAGATGTGGCTTCTTCTAAAGTGTTTTCATAATGCTTTATGTTTGGGGAAGCCCCTCTGGCTAATTAACCTGGCAAACATGTAATGTATGTAATGTCATATACGAGTCATACTACAGGATGTTACACATACAATTGATGCTGACTCAAGTTTCAACTGTCCAACTTGTTACCACTCTTTTCATCAACTCTGAGAACTTAAGAACAACAAACTTCTGTTGTTGCCGTGTTGCTGTTTTAGCATTAGTTCTAAATGAGAGGTTCAAAAATAGTGAATATCTTTTCTCCTAAAAAAATGTGTAACATTTCTATGTGTCCAGCCCAATGCCTTGATATTCCTGTCCACTTGCACATGTATACATAGCATGAAACTCACAAAGTCATCAGTCCGCCGTCTTAGCACGCCTGTTTCTCCAGCAGCTCTTATGACCCCTGGCCGCAGCAGATGCATTTGAGATGCTTGCTGGGGTGGTGACAGAGGTCCTAATGGGGGTGGTAGAGGTGGCCGTGGTGCTCTGGGAATCGCCGGTGGAGGCAAGAGCGAAGGCTGGACTAACCACTGAAGGTCCTGGCTGGATGTGATGGTATTGAGGCTGGGAACAAACTGAGCAGCCCCAGTTCCAGGAAACTTATGCTAAGAATGAGAAATTGAGAGGGACTTACACATCCAGTTAAGTATACACTATGTAATACTAGAATATTTTTAAATCATCCTTTAGATGCTTATATTAATAATTTAAATTTCCAAATTTCATTTACATATACTACATAAAGTCAATGTAATTACAGTTTGAATTTCACAGCATATACCAATGTCTCACCATATATGAAGATAAACTGGAAAAAATAATATACTGAAATACCCACTGTTTACCACTGTAACAGCAACCCACCAACAAACAGGTGTACCAAAATCCTAAAATCTTTGTTTTATAATTCAATAATCTTTCATTCTTCATTATACATACATTTAAAATATAATTTATAATTGATAATGTCCATATATTCAGCATCCAGTAGTATAATATTTAGCCATGATTAATCGCAATTTATCTGTATATCAATAGAATAAGTTGTATAATATAAATTGCACGTGTGTGTGTGTGTGTGTATATATATAAATATGGATAAATACCTGTTGCTGTTCTGAAGATGAAGTGCTGGACTCCAGTAATCCGGGATTTGATCCTGCTCGTGGGGTACCAGAAGTTCCCGAGAAGCACTGGTCGCTCGTTTCGCTCATATTTTTGTAATTATGATACATCTTATAATCAAATTCAATCCCAGGAAAGATCTCCCCTTGTTTGAACTAATCTTAACACAACGTTGAGCAGTCGTCCCGTAGTACACTTGCCAATACCTCCAAATAATATTCTGAAACTGATTCAAAGGTGAGGAAATCCACTTTCTTCACAGAGCGCTTTAGAGTGAAGTAGTCTTGAAGGGTGGATATGGAACAAGTAATATTTACACAATCGTCACTATTCCTCCACCATCCAAGACATTCAGGAAAAAACAATTAAATTAATACATTCAGATTAAGTCTAAGTCTGTCGATGTGGTCAAACGATTTTTGGCTGGCCGAAAATGATACCAAAATACCTCTGCGCCCCTCTTTATTGTCTGGAGATGGTAGCACCGATCGTTTATTGGATGAAATGCTGTCGTTTATGCACGTGTGGTTGACGTATTAACCCATATATGGATCTTTTCCTCTGATTTACAGGGATTCCTCTTTTGACAGAAGAAACCAGAATACAACTTTCTATTCCGACCCTCCGCCCCCCACCCTACCTGCCTTCCCGACTACGCCTTTCGCATTCTGTTATGTCTGCTCTTTCGGGTTTATTCTTGTGAAGACGCTTCAACCTATTTCTGAACTATAATAGTAATAAAAAGAAAATAATCTATATGAAAATGATTCATCCACGGTGATTTATCCATGATTTATAACGGTGAATTTATCCAAAGCAGATATAGGCTAAAACTATAAGACAAGAAATGAGAATGTAGTCTGTCGTAAAAAAAATAAAGTAATTATTTCATATTTCATGTGAAACTCCTGAAAAGTAAAAACGCTAAAGCAGAATGAATGAGTGACCACGAGAAAAGTAGCCAACGTCGCAGAATGTGGCAAACGTGCTCTGAAACCACTAGGGCTGGATGGCTGGGGCACCAGGCAATGATTCAGTGATAAAGAATGAAACGGAACTACTGAACTATTTTTCACCAACCGTCCATTCATTCTTTATCCCTTCTAAATGGGGTTTTGAGGTTTAAATAAAAACAAAATGAACGATTTGTCTACCAACTATACTTATAAAGCTAAAGAAAAGAAAAGTTAACAACATAGTTATTCTCTATACATATACATGTCGTTTTATATTATTTTGGGATTTTATGTCATTTGTCTTGTAGTTTGACAACGGTCCACAAAAAAGGTAGAAGTTAAACTTTAATTCATTTGTTGAAGCAAAATAGTGTATAGGTGTAAAGTAATATGCATTTGCCTCCCTAAGCAGGACCCCTACTCCCAGGAACTAGACACTGAGCACCAAGGGTGGGCTCCTCAGCTGTGTATAGCCTAATGGCCCATGGGCAACAGTATGGCTCTCAGTTACAGTTACTGCCCCCACCTCATGGGTAAGAATAGTGTGTCTAGAAGTCACGTATGGTTTTTTTTTATATAAGGCAACCATTTTCCAGCAGGATAATGGTAAATTGACAAATTATCATGACTATAAAGAAATATACAATATTGTTGAAGAATTATCTACACCATATGCGTCTTCTTATTTTGGTAGAAAGAATACACATTTAATGGCATTTGAGGTCTCCACCCCACCCCACCCCCCATCCCATCGCAATGTACGCCCATGCTGATATTTACTTCACTGCTGTCTAACACTGAATCGATCCTAATAAAAATACGGCGATATGAATCTGAAAGTAAGATTCAAACTCCACCTTAATGCTGAAATGCTTGTGACAATTTTTAACTTGGAACATCCATACACGTCAGAACTAAAGGTGAGTGAACAATCAAAAGGTCCTTGGCTGTGAATAACTTTACTTTGATTTCTGTTACGTCTAATATGATCTAAAAGTCGAAATGCAAATAGAAAAAAATATTCAAATATAAATACAGGGTTTTCCTGTGCAGCGTAATTTAAAGAATTAGTCAGTAGTTAGTAATAGACCCACATTTTACTTTATATAATCTTAATTCCTGAGATTATTAATGCTGTGAATAGGTGCGAACTGCAATACTACTTCTAGTTTTGGACACATATATTGTAGGCCTACAACACATTTTGTTTATTAACTAGTTTTCAGGAAGAAATGCCTAGTTATTAAGCAAATGGCGTTTGACTCCAGTGACTACGGATACCATCAGCTACGTTTTGCTAACGAGTTACAAGAAACTGACCTTATTTTTGCTTCTGCTTTTCTGTCTTATCATCATTACACATTGAATATTGAGTTGCAGTATGAAAACTACAACATGTATATCTGCAATTCGAAAGTTCTCATTTTCGTTTCCAAGCACTTTCAAACGTATTTACCTAAAAGGATTTTAATTAAGGTGTTTATCCAAGTACAAAAAAGACATTTCCTCAATGATACAACAGCATATATAACACCATCAAGTTATCTACCTGGATTTCAATATTAAATAAGATATGATTCAGAATTATCATGAATTCATCTATAGTACTCAAATGAATATATTATATAAATAAAAGTAGTGAGTTCGTATGAGTCATGTTTCATGAGCGAAAGTGGGGAGTTTCTTATGTTTTAAGTCTGACATTTTTGTTTTATGTGTCATGCTGGTATCTAATTTCCTGAACATTTTACGTTTTGTATGGGCTATACACTGATATTGTGATCCAGTGATCACCAACGTGCGGGCTCCGATCCGCATCTGGCCCGAGGTAAAAAAGAATCCGGACCCCTCCGCCTTCGCTCGGCAGATTTTACTGTCGGCATCACCCCATGGTCGGCGTTTTTTTTTTTTTCTAAGACGCAATGGACCTTAGCTTTGTGTTGCGGACTGAATTTGTCCCTGGGGAAAAATAGTTGGGGACCAGGTTGTAGAGTGTATCGTTCCCTGCAGCTGGTCACGAAAATACAATAAAGGTCAAAGGTAAAGATGATGCAAGCCAATTGAAACGTAGTTGTCACAACACACCTTCTCCGACACTTTTCCTTTAAAAGGTTCAGACGAATACCTACTGTATGAAGGTGCAATGTCACATCTGTGACATCATATTTGCTAGTACATCAAGTTCAATACTTAAGCTTGAGGAATAGTTTGTAACAGCATGGATCCACTGTACCCATCACATAGTATCCCTCTCTGTCTGATTAAATTGCAAAGAACCCAAGGGAAAATAAACATTTACCAGAAATGCACATGGTACCCTGCCTGTCTCCACATTTCCTTTCTTTGTGTAATTGGACTCAACCCATGTGTATTATACCATGTTCTCAAAATGTGTTCTCCGAATTGTATAAAAAGATATCAATATAATCTTCATGACTCCTAACTTGCTGTCTCTGTGATAATTGGAGAACAAATTTCAATTAAATTACTCTGCTCACCCTAATCAAGTAGTGCTGATACATATGCATCATTTTCATTCATAAGTCAAACATTTTCCACAGTTTCTTATCCAGTGCAGCATCATAACAAGCCTGGAGCATATCTAGCGAGCACAGGGCACAAGGGAGGACATGCTCTTCCTGTCAAGGATCAGGGCAGACTTGGGGCAATGGTGAGGCATGATGCAGGCAGAGAGGTGGACAACCCTCTGGCGACTCACAGGACAGGGGTTTATTAAACAAGGACAGGGAACACTGGGAAACACTACAAAACCAAACCAGACCACGAGGGGTCAAAGTAAAACAAAGACTACTACAAAGGGGTCAGGACAACAAGAGGCGGTCAGGCAGGTAACACATATACATCAGTGGCATAGAGACCTTTGACAACATACAATGAACCACTGGGGAACTGAACTCAGACAGGAACTTAAATATGAAAACTGAACTGGATAACGAGACAGCAGGAGTGAGACATAGACAATTAACCAATCAGGGAGGGTGCAGGGCAACAAGCAATCAGGAAACACACAAGGACCGGCACAAGAACAGGCAACAGGTGGAACTAATTAACTCAGGAACTAGGAAGAGAAAACTAAGACACTGACAGGAACAAGGAAACAGAAACTACACTAGGGGAATAACAGACAGGTAAAAACACAAGCACAGGCACAAAGAATGAAACCAAAACCAAATACAAATCACAAGACACAGGAACTAGAAAACTCATACAAATGAAACACTAGGGAACAAAATACAAAAACAGAGGAGACTGGATTCAAACACACAACAGAGGGGTTAAGAAAGCTTAAGTTAGTCAAATACAGTATGTATATAACATTCCTGTGTATGCACACATATACATATATTTGGAACATTAACATTTAAAACACTGAAACATTTAGTCTGAAGACGCCCCCCCCCTCAAAAAAAAAAATAAAATGTCCTCACGATTGGAAAAAAAGTTGCTGAACCGGGGTGAGGTCTCGCGAACAGCTCATATTTGATAACGATAGGTCACAACACCCAGTTTAACCCCTGCTTAATATGATGACGTAAAAGGTAATGGTCAAATTGATTTCGCCGACATAAAATGTTACCTGAAGAAGGGATTGATTGACCGCGTAACCAGTAAACGCAAAGCAGTTCACAAACAGGAAGCCTCTTTGCACCAATAGGGTGTTTAGAATGGGCCACGCTGCCACGCAGGCACGGAATACTGTACCAATCGGTTAGTGCAACGGGGCTGCGTCTTCGAAGGTTGCTACGTCTATGGTTTTTGTAAGTTTTTGTTTAGTTTTAAAATATTTTGAAGATCACTACTAACATTTTATACATCCCCCTTTATGGTCATAACTTCGGGTTATTGTTAATATCTCGCTTTGCTCTAAAACCACGTACATCCGTAATAATAAATGGCGTAAAATCGCAGCCCGTATACGGCTGTATTAGCTGACGAGCAGGAGAAAGCGTCGTGATGCATTGTATTTACACAAATATAAATTTCAGTTAGCTAACGTTATTACTTTTTTCGAACAGTAATGCACGATGGACGTCCCACACCACGGCTATCGAGCAAGTAAGTATGAAGGACGGCAAATGTTGCAGAGTTGCTTATGACAAGTAAGCGGTTTAGCCTGTGGTTCTGAAGCTCGTCCCTGCATGGGCCTGTTTCATTTTGATGGCCATCCCTGTAGATGACACATATTATGATTTTGGCGTTTCCGTTTGCTAGGTTCAGTTAATGCGCCTTTTCTGTTCTGTAAAATACATCATTGTTTTCTTTGACTTCATTTGACGACCTAGTACATTCAGAGAGTGAGTGACCGAACGATAAATGTAAACAGTTTTTTTAAGCATGGTGGTCTTTATAATGATGTATAATAAGATAACGGGTGGCAAGTTTGGTCAGCTTCTTGGAGTGAGATTTTCTATTCGAGACAAGTCTGCACACGCAGTTACATGTATGCAACATTTTATTACCTTAAAAATGGTCTGTGGGGTCTGCAAACTGTCCCAACGCTTTTGATGTAGGTAATTTTAGGTTTATAATGGAATAATATAGATTTGCTGTAAGATTTCTTGTGTGAGCGCGAGAGTCAGAAAGTGTGTCATGCCAGATGCTCTCAGATAATGCATGATAATGTGAGCAAAAGAGAATGGCATGAGCATTTAGTTCTCATATTTCCTGATGTTCTTGGCGTAGTTCTATCTGTTCATGGTGTTTGAGAACTGATGCAAATAAGAACAGTGACAGAAAGAAATAATATTTATTTAAGCTTTGGTTTGAACGCTGGACGCAGTAGTAAAGCATATTTTATGCATTAGTCATTTTTCTGTCCATCTACCCTCTATCCTGGTTCCCTATGAGTTGCTGTTTAAGGCAAAATTCAGCTTCTGTTTAAGCAGGTGTTTTGTAATTGAAGATATAATGTATTACATTAAAGATAAATCGTGTGTATTGCTTGAACTCAAGTACAAGTAAGATTCATCATGTTATTCCTGTGCCCGGTTTGTGATTCCTGCCTGGTGGTCATGTTCTTAGTTTGTAGTTTTAGGTTTTGACAGGTACCATCCACAACCTTTTGGATTTCTACTTCATTAAAAAGTCACCATGTGGAATACTTGTGGTTAAAACAACCGCAAACTGACGTTTGTGTTTCAGCATATTTCGGAAAGGTTATAGGTTAAAGTAAGTTGGGATGCCATGATGTAGGAGACATATGAACAAGGTCTGTATAGTATGGCTAAGTTTAACTGTTTGTCCCTCAAGAACAGTGCTTATTTTGCTGTGGTCAGTGGCTCACTTCACACATTTCTCTCTGAGCTTGGGGAAAATGAGGAATATGGTTTTCCTCAGAAAGCGATTTAACTTTGTGTAGCAGTGTCATTATTAATATTAATAAAACATTCCTCATCAGTTTATACATTTTTAGCATTACTTCATTCCTCTGTTCCCAAGCAGCAAAGCCTCGGGCTCGAGCGGCGCCCCCTTCTGGCGATCCCTTGTTGTTTGAGGACACCAGCTCCTCAGGTCCACCCATGGGACATCAGGGGTACTACAGCTCCGGGTACAGCATGAGTGGAGTTGGTGGCGGAGTGGGAAACAGTGGGATGAATGAACTGTTTACTGACCCAATGGCCAATGCTGCTGTCATGTATGGCTCGTCACTTGCCACACAGGGGAAGGATATGGTCAACAAGGAGGTGAGGTTTTTTTTTGGGGGGGGGGGCTAGATTGCAGTGAATTAGAGGTATCAGTTTGGTAGGAGAGAGGGGAAATGGAATTTGAAGAATGTTGCCGTGGCTCTTGTCCTGATGTGAAATGCTGTGCTTTTTCTGTTTAACCTCTAGATCAGTCGGTTTATGTCAGTGAACAAGTTAAAGTACTTCTTCGCCGTTGACACAAAATACGTTATGAAAAAACTGCTCCTTCTCATGTTTCCTTACACACATCAGGTAATCCAGCTGGCTTGCTGGTCACTCGTCGCTAAAACTGTTGCCCATTTTGGCATATATCACATTCTAATGGTCTTACACATTTTAATTTGGCAATTTGATATCTTCCACTCTTACAGTAAAAAATCTGCAAACTGCTGAATTGCATGGTGCCTTGCTTAAAGAGGCACATCTTCGTCATAAATTACAAGAACTTAATTTTGTAGTTAAGAGTTTAACAAAAACAGAAGTATGTCAGTGTTGCTCATCTATCCTGTTATTGGAATGTAGATCCTCACTTCCTGTCTGTGCCTGTAGATCCTCACTTCCTGTCTGTGCCTGTAGGTCCTCACTTCCTGTCTGTGCCTGTAGATCCTCACTTCCTTTCTGGCCTGTCCTTTGTTATACATTCCACCCAGAATACCCACGTGATTAATATACATAACATAATATCTATTAACTTCTTTGGTGTTAGCCAGTTTGCATTTTACAACATGTGAACCACCAAATGGCAAAGTCTTTTTTTTATTATTCATTTTTAATCATTGTTTATGTTATTAGGACTGGGAGGTGCGCTACCACAGAGACACGCCCTTTACTCCCAGACATGACGTCAATGCTCCTGATCTCTACATACCTAGTGAGTAGTTGACCTAAATTTTTAATACAGCTTGGGTAATTACCCATTAAAGAGCATATTGACCATCGTCACCTCATTTGCCTCCACAGCTATGGCCTTCATCACATACATTTTGCTGGCAGGTATGGCGCTGGGTATCCAGAAAAGGTTAGTCCTACTTATGGTTTTATTTAAGGCTCCCCCCCAACAATATGTTTTGAATTTTACAGTCAGATGAATTCAAAATTCATTTGTCACTCTCTAATTTTCAGGTTTAGCCCTGAAGTCCTCGGCCTTTGTGCCAGCACTGCTCTGGTCTGGGTCATCATCGAGGTCCTGGTTATGTTGTTGGGGCTCTATCTACTCACCGTTCACTCAGACCTGTCAACCTTTGATCTTATTGCCTACAGCGGATACAAATATGTGGGGTGAGGCTCTTTGATCCATGTATGACTTTCATCATATGTTGCTATTTACAGTTGGCCCTCCATTTCATTGGGGAGGGGTTGGTTGGTCCCAGGATCCCCCCCCCCCCCCCCGATGCTCAAGTCCCTTACATAAAATGGCGAAGTATTCGCATATGTTACGCACATCCTTCAGTATACTTTAAATAGTCTCTAGATTACTTGTAATACCTAATACAGTGTAAATAAGGTAAAATACAGCAGCCAAACGAATTACTTGATAGTGTAAAATAAAATTGGCTTTTCTACCTTCACTCTAAAGACAGTCTTTGCGGGCACTGAAAAGCATTGTGGGTAAACGAGACAGGAGAGCACCTTTGTCATTCAGCCCTGCCAATACGGGAAACCAGAACACTGGTAGCTGGAAAAAATGATTGAAGCCCCGTTACTTCTTCACCGCCCCCGGCTTCTAACTGGAAATTAATAGCCTACCAAAATACCCAAATTACACGTACAATTAGCACTTTGTGCATGGCGAGTTCATGTTTTGCTTTTTGGAACTTTCTGAATTTTTTTTTTTTCTCACTGATTCATTTTAATCTGGGGTTGGATCGGGCGGCTGACTGTAAGACCAGGAAGGAGTTATTGGAGTAGATCATCCTCATGTTGGTTTCACTAATCAGTAATTAAGGTGCTTTCTCTCCTTGAAGTTCAAACCACCATCTGGTTGATATGTGACTTGTGTCCTCTGGTAATAAATCTATTTGCTCGTGTATACTGTGGTAGGCAGCTGCCCAGTCAGCTTGTCTGACACCTGTCCTTCTGCCATACTGGGAGTTGTCTGACACAGCCAGAATTCTAAAAGATTAGAAGTGAACATTGGTTGATTGATAAAATGTGATTTTTAGTTTCTGTGTTCAAATGCAGACTGTTGTCTTAATAGTTGTAATACATACTACTTTGGCCTACTGTGTTTCACTATAGCTTTGTTTCTGTCTCTCCTAGGATGATCTTCACAGTTCTCTGTGGGCTGCTCTTTGGCAGTGATGGCTATTTTATTGCTCTGGCTTGGTCCTCCTGCGCCCTCATGTTTTTCATCGTAAGTTTTAAAGCATAGATTTTTTTAATCTGCTGTTCAGCAGTAACATGCATCTTTGTATACTCAGTTACCTGTTTTTACATTTTTTTAATTTTTTTTTTACATTCTGAATACTAAATATTTCAAAGCAATTTTCCATTTAGTGACTGATTAAGCTTTGGTACAGGAAAAGTTAAAAAAATTCTGCTTTTGTTGGAAGTAAAATGTAAAGAATATTAATTGTAATTTCTTGTGTTTAAGACTAAGTCGAGCAGTTCTGTTTTATGCATGTTATGTACAGTAGGGCTGCTTGATATCACGTCGCGGTTATATGGTGTGTGCACCGGCGTCTTTTTCACCTTGTTTAAAAACAATATCTCCTCTTTCAAAATATGTGGGTGTTGAACCATTCTTCTCTTCACTAACAACCGAAGTGCTTATTGCTTCCGTGATATACCAAAATAGTAGTATGTGACGAGCTCTGCTAATTAAACAAACATAAGGATATGCTGAATTTATACGGATTAGTAATTTTTGGGTGTCACAATACGGCTAACAATATTTTTGATATACTACTAATCTGATTACCAAATTGTGGGCTTAAGTAAACATCCGTACAGTACCGAAAATGTTTGGACAAATTTTTTTTAATTGTTTATGCCCGTCATCTAAAGCCCTGGTGATTATTGTGCATGTGCCTATAATCGAAATTAGATCGCGATGTAATATCATGAACAACAAATTTATATATGGATTTTACGATTTGGATTTAATAGTTTGTCATTTTGACTTTATATTTTAAGCAAGTTAAAAATGACTGCATTGTGTCAGTTTTGTGCTTTTCATGAAGCAAATTTTCCTGATCGGTCTAGGTTTTGTGATGCAGTCTCCATTGCATTAAGATTGTCACAACTCACTGACATTAAAACTCTGTCTCTCAGGTCCGCTCCCTCCGGATGAAGATTCTTTCCTCTTTCCCTCCTGACTCCGTGGGTACTGCGGCCAGTGCCAAGCCCCGCATGCGTCTTTACATTACTGTAGCCACCGCTGCCTTTCAGCCAATCATCATTTACTGGCTCACTGCCCATCTGGTCAGGTGACCTAAAAGAGAGTGACTCCTATGGTTTAATGGACGACGGACTCAAATTTTAAAACCTTAATCCACACATTGACTAATTCCACCTTCAAGGAAATGCATTTTGTTTGATGGCATTTCCATACAAAAAGGAAGACCTGCTATTAGAGATGAGATTGTAACTTGTCATTGTGTAATGGATTAAAGTTTTAGTTTTTATTTCGGTTTAATATGGTCTTTTCCACAAACAAGAAGTACGGGAATATGACGCATTCTCCCTCCCTGCCCTTTTTGTGTTGCCACGCGCTTAATCAAAGAACGGACGTAACTTCCCGTTTTCAGTTGTAACCACGTGGGGGAGCTCGTCAGGCTACAACGTCAGCTAGTGCAGGAACAGATTGGTAGAACAGCGAATATATTGAAAATAAAATAAGAAAAACCTTGCCCAAAGAGCCTTCAGCAGTACTGTGAACTGTATTTGACACGAAATATGGACTAAAAGGGATGATTCTGCTGAAGTTGAAACGTCACATGAATTTGAGTTCCCCAAATAAAACTGCATTGCTGCTGATTTAAATAAACAACGGCGACATTAAATGGTATGATGTTTTTTATGTTCAGTTTTCCCTTTCACTTACTATTTTACATGTATCTGTGCTGTTACCTTAGAATGAATAACGATACTATAGAATTGTCTTTTGGAAAAATAAACTGAAGTTTTGAAAATTGTCTTCGTTTCTTTAGTTGAATCGGTTTTCTGTCCTTAAATACGATAGCTGTATATGTGAACATTAATTACGGTGACCTTGTGTCCTATTTTTCCCGTATCCGTCCATTTCTTTTGGGACCTAAAACTCCTGACACGTCCGCGATTTCGCTTTGTTTCACGTTGACGTTTGTTTCTACAGTCAGAATGCTTTCTGTGTGCAACTTTGCGTCCTGCCCCTAGTGCAGTCTTTTTTGCAAAGCAAAATATGGTCATCCTACACTGATATATAAAAAATGTATTGCTTCTGATAACGATTTTACTTCCTCTGTGTCTGGTCTCCTAGTATATCTGCATTGCTTTATAAACGCTTGTCTCCAACTCCAAGTGTTTGGATTTATTTGTAATTTATCTTAAATCATTGTCCTGGGTGTATACTGTGCATCCATGCTGTAAGCCCAGTAGCAGAGAATCACGAGGTAGTTCCCCTTTAATCGTGGCCGCGCTGGACGCGCGCAGGTTTCTAAGCGTCCTTTTGGTTTCTAAGGAAACGCGAGGAAGGTTGGAACGCGGACAGACGAGAGAATTCGGCTAAAACGCGTTTTATATTAATTACAAAAATAGACATTTTTTGTTTTGTTAACACTCGTACACTTACATATCTGTCTTAAGGTTTTTCTGTAATCAAGGTAAGCAGCGCATGCTTTAATTGTTTCTTTACAACCTTTCTTCTTTTATTCGAAACCGAGATAGAGGGCAATGGACAAAGCCTGTTTCATTAATTGTGCAAAGTGTAACTGTATATTCTAGCGCCATTTTCATAAGATGCGCCAACGTCCCTTTTGTTTTCTAAACGGTGCGATAAGTGCTAATTTTTAAGTACGTGTGTTTACACGATGTATAAATGTATATATGCATCTTGCAGCATAAAATATGTGCACCTGTTGGTTAGCTAGGTTGCTAAATCATTAACAGGAAAAGTGGACTGGGAATGACAGACAAGGACTCTGACCAGGCTGGCTAACTTTTATACTTTGTCGTTTTTTTCCCCAAACATGTTCTTTTCTCATTATGTATAACGTCTATCTTTAACGATATTTGTATATAATTGTTGTCGCGTTAAGAGCATCTATTAATTTCTTTTGTGAATAAGATGAATAATCACTTTGTTGACTTCTGAACAGGTCAATAGTTGGATGAGTGTATCAGGAATCTGGAGCTGGGAGAGAGATGGACACCAACTCTCAACCACTGCCACCATCTCATTCTCTTCACGCCACTCTCACTCCTTGTCAGGCTCTCCCTGTGTCCCCCTCCCTCCAGTCCCAGCCACTGTCCCCGCCATCGTCCTCTCCTCTCCCTGCCTCATTGCCTCTTTCTCCTTTGACACCCTCTAATTCACTCCCTCTATCACCTACATCTTATTCTCCCTCAGCCCTGACCGCTGACTCCCAGTTGCTCTTTGCTTCTTGTCATCGCCTGTCTCCTCCCCCACTTTCCCAAGGACCTGTCGCGCACTGCCCAAGCCTGCCTACCTCCGCTGCCGAGGATGACCTGACCTGCCTCAGCTGGCTGCACCAAAGGGGCGACTTACTCCCCCTGCAGCCCCTACCTAAAACCATTCCACTGCCCCAGCTAACACTCCAAGACTCCATACCAACCCCTCATCTGCCCCTTTGCTCTTCCAAGCCCCCTTACTCCTTCAGCAGTCTGATTTTCATGGCCATCGAGGACTCCCCAGAAAAGAGGCTACCTGTGAAGGGGATCTATGACTGGATTGTGAACAACTTCCCCTACTACAGGGCAGCCCCTGGCGGCTGGAGAAACTCGGTGCGACACAATCTGTCACTGAGTAAATGTTTTCACCGGATTCGCAGAGAGAAAGGCCAGGTAAAACAAAAAAAAATAACTGTCTCACACCAGACCAAGTACCACATTAACTGAATATATTCCAATAATATCATGAAAATGATGTTACATTGAATTCAACTAATAATAACTAGTAATAATGAGTGTTGTCTTTCTATTTTTGGTTCCTTTTGATACATGGACACATTCATATGTTTCTATATTAATATTGTTATACATATATTCAAAAACACATGCATGCAGTGTCCCGTTGCAGTGCATTTCAATAACAATGAGTGGGTGTTTTCCAGACAGTGGGCAAAGGATCCTTGTGGTGTGTGTCTCCAGAGTACAGACCTGCCCTTTTAGAGGTGCTTAGGAAAACTCAGCACTGCCACAGCACCAGTAGCAACCTGAACAGCAGCCCTCTTCTGTGAGTCTACTTGCACACAGATATCGGTTACATATGTTACATCTACAGTCCAAATGAGCAAGTCTCGCAAATTATACACAACCTTGCTCCGATGTGTGTTTTAACTGCACGGCTGCTTACAGCTTGTGTCAGTGTTTCTCAGCTGGTTGATTGTAAACTAAAAGTGGGTCGCAGAGAGTAAATGGCTTTCTTTTGTGTCGTAAATTAATGACCAAGAATAATGTGGGTCCTGTGACCAAGCCAGTGGAAAACCTCTGGATTATGTAATATTCCTGTGGTCACATAATGCATACACACGAACGCGCTTAAGCGCACAGGAAGAACACAGCAATAGCTGCAGCCTCCTTTTATGCAGAGTTCAACTAGTAGCATTCGTCCTTGGTGTTTACTGTATAGATGACGGTTGTTATAGCAACCTTTTTTGGCGATATTTCCTATATTGATAGTATTAGCCATTAAAGATGTTGATTCTTAAAGAGGGGATTTCAGTCCCATCTGTGATGAATATATTTATGTGAGGACAGGACTCTTGACAGGTCCAACCAGATTCCCAATAGGTTGTGGCTAGTCAAGTCTGTTACATCAGATAAAGCTTGTATCCCATAGAGTTAATTAAAAAGGAATATCAATGTGCACCTTTCGTTTGATATAGACACTTTGCTTTAGAAAGGATCTAGAGTCATTTCAACAAGAAAATCGGAAATCCCACATTCGGAGTTAAACAAGGAAAAGATGGTCAAGAAATCATCCATCCTTGACCAAAATGTCTCTGAAGAAGCGTGGAATCTGAAAAAGTCGAAAGTAATTAGTATTTTTGTTAGTTTCTCCCACAATCCTCTTTATATTAACCACTGCCAGTGTTGCTATTACACCACTCCAAAGAGCAGCCTGTTAAATGCAGACACAAGATATGCATGTCGTCATGCATTTTTAAAGACTCAACAATAGGTTTGTCTGACATTCTTCTGGGAACTTAGAATGAGTGTCAGGGAGATTTTCTCAGAATATTCACACTGGCCTTTTCAGTTGTGAAGTGTAACACACACTTTCCCTGAGTTACAGCATTCTGACAAGGAAAGCTGTGTAGGATGTCTTAAACTTCATTGTGTGTTTGATGACCCTTCCAAAGTGTGACACAAAATCAGAAACAGCCTAACTGATTTCATAGCACAAATCTGTATTTTATGATACTTATTTGCAGCAATGTAACAGCTTTTAAAAATGTTCTTTATTATTGTGTCCTGAAACAGGCTTGAGGAAGGAGATTATGGGGCACCAGTGTTAAGTGATGCTATACAGATCTCAGGTCAGTTTCTCTTGCTTGGAATTAATTTCTGTACTAAATGCTTAACATATACACAGGCAAAGCGAAAAACCTTCCACATACTTTTAATCAAATTAGATTTTGAATGTGAAAATGAAGTTCATTTTTCATGGTTAAAACGTGAAGCATGCATATTTTGCACGGTACCTTCCTCATTACGGTCCGACAACTCATCCTCCCTCTAATTTCATTCTCTTCCGTGCTCGCTCTTTCCCTCTGCATGTTGCATATCTTCTGCGTTTGTATGCCATTTCCCTAGCAACCGCCAGCTGTTACCTTGGCAACCTTGAGCCACCGCAGCCAGATGGCATACCACTGTGTCTTTAGTGGGTTCATTGTTGTTCACTTAATGCCAAGGACTGACTTTCACTGCTACTGTAGAGTCGAATGCACATAATCTTATATTTGCTGTGTAAATCGGACATACATTTTTATGCAGGTGGACTGTTAATGCGTCCATTTTTGCATACTTTGTAGTCATAAGTGTGTTTGCTTGTTCATTTTTGACCAGTTTTGCTCTCTTTCGCACAGATTCACTGTCCCAAACGCTTCTCCTTTCTTCACCCTCCCCACCTGCCCTGCCCTCTGATACGGTTGTCCATTTGACTGCTGACCAAGAAGAGCTGGTTTCTATGGAGACCATAGAACTCCAGGAAGTGAATGAGGATGGAGAGAAAGACCCATTAACAGATAGTGGCTACATTGAGTTTCACTACTACCAGTATCATCAGTACCAGTACCTAGTGCTTCCAGGGGAGACTGAATTAGACCTGGAGACGGTAGAGATTCTGCAGCTGGATGCTGAAGCCCAGGAGGCGGCTGGGTCTTTGCTTGACTTGGCAGGAGGTGGACATTAACATCCTCTGGATGAAACCTGAACAGAAAGAGGCACATCTGTCTCACCTGCCACGTGTCATACCGACACATGCATACACTGATCTTCACACTGCCTGAATTAGTCCTATTGACATGTTGACACATAGTGATATATTTAATACTTATCACCTAATGCTGCTCTCTGATACACACCAGCATGCAGAGTTTGATGCAACTCAGCAAAACATCTTGTTTGACTCTGATGATGTGGGACATCGGAAAATTAAAGGACAACTTTATCCAAGACAAATCCGGGTGGCTGATATACTCAAATTTTATTAATAATCAAGACTGCCGTGTGAGATTTTCCGCAATAAAAATATGGTTATTCAATGTGTTAAAATTAACTGCCAGCACTGAGAGATTCAGGGCCCAGATAATGTTTTAATGTTTAGTTTTAAGTTATGATACACATACAACTGCTAAATACTTTTTAGTTCATTCTTAGAAAAAATTATATTTTAGTTTTACTAACTATTGTAAATCTTCCAGCTATAAACGATTTTGCATGGTCAACTGAATTTAATAAAGGTTTTCATTTTAAATTAAAGTTTTTTTTCTGTCAACAATAAATAATTATTGAGATTCTTAGAGCCCAGTGTGCATCCATTTCATTTTTCTGTTACTATATGTGGGGTGGTGCAGTGGTTAGCACTGGTGTCTCACACCTCTGGGACCAGGGTTCAAGTTTCTGCCATGGTTCTATGTGTGTGGAATTTGAGTGGTTCCTCTGCTTGTCATGGGGTTTACTCTAGTTCCCCCAAACCCACAATACAAAAACATGGTGAGGTTAATTACCCATAGGTGTGAATGGTGTTTGAGTGAGCCTGGTTATGGGATGGTGCCCCATCCTGGGTTGTTTCCTGTCTGGCCCCAGTAGCCTCCTGAACAGGCTCTGGACTTCCTGCAACCCTGACTAGGACAAGCAGGTACAGAAAGGCATAATAATGGTACTTTCAATGAGTTCTCAGACACTGGCTTTTATTACATTGATGTGGGGTGTTGATCTGTATTTCTTGCAGAACCTTTGTCAGTTACAGTACATATATGGAAATAACTGATAAATGTATTACTGAAAACATCTACCCAATGGTTTGATATCCCCATGGAGGAGCTGGACAAAGTTGCTGGGGAGATGGAGGTTCCAGGGTTGCCAAATCTCATGCATCTGGTGTGACACTCACGCTTTTGGACTCACATTCACACAAGAAATCTTATGGCAAATCTGAATTATTCCATTATAAACATCAATAGTGTTGGGGCAGTTTGCAAACCCTACAGACCATTTACAAGGAAAAAACTTATATACATGTGAATGGATGTGCAGACTTATCCCCCTGAGGTTTGGGGATTTCTTGCATTAGGACGGTTGCATACCCAGATCTACCACTGAGGACATGAAGGTCAAGTCCTCTATTTTTTTCTGCTACTCCAACAGCCATGATCCATCATGGGACACACCTAGAAAGGGTTAACACTTTTGACCTTGGTATTTTAAAAATCACGACTACAGCCCTGGATGGATGTTGCCTACTACAAAATCTACGTTTATATGCTTTAAATGTGAATCAAATGCTATTTGCGCCAAAACAAAAATTAACAATGGCTTCAAATTAAGCACAAGCAACAATAAACTTCCAATTTCACTTCCAGTCAGTGGCGGCTGTAGCTTGTGCACACCAGGGCGAACCCCAACTTCGTCGCGGCTACTCATGCCGCCCATACCTAAATACGTCAGCGACTACGGTAACGGAAAAAGAACGTGTTGCACTCCACCCTTCCGCATTGGTAATGATTCATGAGGCGCTGTTCGCCTATCGGGGTGCACCCTGGGAGATGGTGTTTAACCACTGCCGCACATTGTTTGAGTTATATGATACTTTTAAATCCCAAAACTACAATCCCTACATGGCCATTCAATGGGGAAGGGAATGTCAAGATATACGTCGCTGGTAGCTGTAAGTTTTGGATATTTTTACAGTCATTAAAAGGAAAGTGCTTGCCTCCGCTTCAATTAACCGGATACTTAAGGTATACATAATTTGAGAAAAATGTACCGATTGCATAGTTCTAACATGTAATTTGGATTTTTCTGGGCTACAGCGTTTGTTTTGTAGTACCTTGATGGATGCTGCGTTTATCAACATTTCGAGACCTGACTATAGTTGGCAGTAATTCATTTTTAATATTGTAGATCTGGAGCCATTTTGTAATGTTGTTATAGGACTTAAAATTTCTTATATTACCTAGCGTTTATTGCGGTATATTTGTCGCATCAGATGTAGAGTAGAGTATTGTATAAGATTTATTTAGCTCTGTTATTGTGGCTGCATGCTGCGTATAGAGAGTATATTTGTTGATATATAATCCGTGGTTGTTGCATCCCATATACTAATGGAATTTTGTAACGCGAAATGCGTTTTAACATTGTAGTACCACCAATGGACAATTGCAAATGTCATGGCGTTATTCCGTTTATGCATTTTAACAGGTAATACTCAAAATTTCTTCACGGGCCTAAGGTGTAACAGAACCCAGCACAACTCCCGAACTTAAGCACTTTACGGAACGTTTGTCGTGACAAATGTCATAGATCGCGTACTTCACGGCGACTTTTACATCAACCGGAATCTGCGGCTTTGCTTTTTAGCAGTGACACCAGCTTGTGATGATTTTTTTTTCATCGCAACATTTCCAGCAATTTGCTTGTGTGTACTGTCCCACGGATAAACGCGACGAGCCGAGGTGTAACAAAGAGCTGTATTCAGAAAAGTGTCTGATCGGCAAGGGAGCCTCATCATACGCCAGTAGAGCCATACAGGAGCTACCCAGGGCAGATGCGCTCCCAACCTGTTAGAGAGGCTATTTACTGTGCTAGATCTTATTAAGCAATGGCTAGACATGAGTGTCATATCAAATGCATTCCATGTTCTAAAGATATCAAGTGTTTGATAATAAAAATAAGTTAATTAGTATTCTAACAATGCCAGACATGATGTAGTTGTGCTAATCTTAATGACCAGTGACCAAGGTAGTTTGGCAGCCATCTATAAGTAAATTTGTATGTTTATATTATGGTTTGTCGCATTAGGAGCAGTCTTTACTGTGTGGTTTGTCATTGATTTAATGTTGTGGTGATGTTTGTTGTATGTAGTAAAGTACTTTCTGAATAATGCTGTTAATTTTCCATTCTTATTTTTCCTGTCATTGAAATGAGTGTTTTCTGTTTGTCACGCACAGGAAGTACCAGTGTCTCACCAATGAGGGGCAGTAGCGAGCCTGGCGCAGTCCAAATTGTGACTGTTAGCAAGGAGGATCACTCCTTCTCACTGGACACAGAGGCTCTGGAACGAGTTCTTTTGTCCCCACACGTCCGAGACAAGCATGTCGTGGTGCTGTCCGTTGCCGGCGCCTTCCGCAAGGGCAAAAGCTTCATTCTGGATTTCATGCTTCGATACATGTACAGAAAGGTCAGTGTTCGTACGTCATGTGATAATCTCTGTGGCTGAACTGCCATTTCATCTTTGCCGTCCGAGATTTAGGCACAAATCTTGTGATGCAGCGGAGCGAGTTTGCTCTCTGTCACGGGGAGAGGTTGTTGGTTTAGAGCATTGTGTCCCGGCTGGCCATACAGTACAGTAATGCCTAATCTAGTAACCCCAGCTGCCTGCCGTGATTCCCGCCTTTTTCTCTCTGCATGTTTAGTCTGAGGACAACTGGTTGGGATCAGAGGATGAGCCCCTGACAGGCTTCTCTTGGAGGGGGGGCTCGGAACCAGAAACCACTGGAATCCAGCTGTGGAGCGAGGTCTTTCTGCTGGAAAAGCAAGACGGCTCTGAGGTACAGCCCGAAGCTACCTTTGAAGGAAAAGTGTATGGCTCTATGTCACTGCTGGCAATGTAAAGAGTGCCATGTTTTAAGCGGTAAAAGGGGGAAATAGAAAATATCACTAAATATCGGAGCAGTGGCAAGATGTCATATAGGTACTACTGTAAAGACACCCCACATTTTAAGCTGGAAAATGCATTTCTGAAACCCTAAATTTGAATGAATGGATGAATTTGATTACAAATTGAAAATATCTTTTTCTATATAAATGAATCATGCACTATGATCCTTCTGCTGCTATGTAATTTCATGGGCTGTTGCACAGGTTTTGCATTACGCACGAAATCGCCACAGACTCCTTCAGGCAGTGTGCTCATGTATTCTGTGTGCCTGTATTGCTTCAGGCACCAAGTCACCCTCTGGAAATTCCTCTGGTGGAAGAGCCTGATACTTTACACATATTAGCCCATCCTGGACAGGCAGCTGTGTGAGGTCTGCATTGTGCCCCTTGCAGGTGGCAGTGGTGCTGATGGACACCCAGGGGGCTTTTGACACCCAGTCTACTGTGAAGGACTGCGCCACCATCTTCGCCCTCAGCACCATGACTAGCTCCATACAGGTGTGGCCTGTCTGATCAGCCATGTTTTTGGCTTTGACATGCTGTTCGTCCTGTTTTTTTCTTTTCTGTTTTTTTTGTGTGTGTGTCTGTCTGTGCATGTGGATGGTTCTTAGTCTTGCGAGATGCTTTGCATCTTCACCTTACTAGCCTGCTTTTCTCCTTCACAGTGTCAGAGTTCTCCCCAGTCTGGTTTCTTTTTTATTCTACTTGTGTACATGTGCATTTATTCATGGTGCCATTTTACTTCTGCATCCCTTATTTTGTAGTAGGCAAACCCTGACCATCCAGTGTGTCTGGTGCTTAGCAACATGTTTTGTTTCTGTAGATCTACAACCTCTCTCAGAATATCCAGGAGGATGACCTACAGCAGCTTCAGGTTACTCATCTGCTACACACGCTAAATACGCACCACGTGTGCATTCCAGCGCGAAATGGTGCCTGTCCCCAGCACGGCTCAATAACCCTACCTCTCTGTACCTCATTTCAGTTGTTCACAGAGTACGGTCGCCTTGCCATGGATGAAATCTTCCTGAAGCCTTTTCAGGTACAAAGACATTAACCAGATGTTACCAGTGCATTTTTAGTCACTCATTTCAGATGTTTACCAGCTCAGCGGTGTAATTAAAGTAATACTGTTTTTAAAAGTTTACTTATACTTCGCAGTTTTTTTTTCCTAAAGCCTCTTGTGACCCAATGGCCTAGAGCAGGGGTCTCCAACCCAGGTCCTGGAGAGCTACTATCCAGTCGGTTTTCAATCCTGCCTGGCTTCTGATGAGCCACACCTGTTCTCAGGTAAATACCAGGAGCAGGTGTGGCTCATCAGAAGCCAGGCAGGATTGAAAACCTACTGGATAGTAGCTCTCCAAGACTGGAGTTGGAGAGCCCTGGACTAGAGTTTATGCTGTGTAATAGCCCATCAGTGTAAACTAGCAGCAGTGCTAATTCCCCCACGCTATCTGTTAACAAAGTGGACAAACCACAACATCTGCCCAAAGATGCAAAGTGGCAGTGCAGGCTGGGGGCTGTGGCGGCTGCAGTCTGAGTCACAGCGACGTCACGGTCACACTCCGTCATGGTGGCACACGGCATTGAGTTTCCTAGGGCTAACATTTTGGTGCCAGTTTGTTTACATGCCGTGAGTACGTGTAATAATTCAGTTATTTCACTTTTCTTGTACCTCACACCCCACCCCCCCAAACCCAGTCCCTAATGTTCCTCGTCAGAGATTGGAGTTTCCCCTACGAGTATCCCTACGGACTGAAGGGGGGCAGTGACTTCTTGGACAAACGCTTGCAGGTAGATGTTGGAATCCAGTACAGTTATATATGGCATCATAGGGCTGGTGGGTTTCTATGCAATTTTATTTATTAGTAGTACTAGTATTTTTTTTTAATATTAGCATAGTCTGCAGCACGTGGGATGTTTTGTAGTCCTTTGATGGTACGTAGGTGACGCCGTGTAGATTTTGATACTTATCTTTTGTCATTCAAAGAGCATGTTTGTGTTGGAAAATAGGGCGAATCTCGGGGGCTTGTATGAATTTGTAATCTTGCACATACACCTTGAGTGACCTGTACATATGATGCCTTTCGTCACCCCTGTGGTCCTGGTGAAGTTCACAGTGAGCAGCATGGTTGTTGGAGCTCAGTAAAGCCACAGGCAAATCATTTAACGTCAGAGTATTTTAAAATTACACTGCAGTCACAGCATAAATAATGATTTATTATTTAATTGATACTTTATGTTGGATAATTGAAGTCAGACCATCCTGGTGCAGAGAAAATATTGATGGAACTGAAATGGCACATGAATTATGTTAGTGTGAATTTTGATATTTGATAACCTTTCAGAAATATAAGGCAAGTCTTTATTTCATTGCCATAATCACCAGGGACCTCAGCCAGGCTAGATTTTATTTATTTATTTTTTTTACCGAAGATCATATTTTTGAACATCTGTTTCTAAACAGCCAGACGTTTGATAGCTATAGTTGTATCATCCCCACTGATTGCTCAGCGTCACCCCGCATGTCTAGCAGTCAGTTGCTGTCAGTATGACTACAGAGTTAGCAGAAGCGCGTAAATAGAGAGTGTGTGTATCAGTAGAAAGGTGGCTGATGTGTGTGTATGTGCCACCGTGTAGGTAAAAGAGTCCCAGCACGAGGAGCTGCAGTCAGTGAGAGAGCATATCCACTCCTGCTTCAACTCCATTTCCTGTTTCCTGCTGCCACACCCAGGGCTGAAGGTGGCCACCAGCCCCGCTTTCCGGGGGCAGCTAAGAGGTACTACGGCTGCCTTTCCATCACTTCCACACGGCTCACGGTGACGTCTGTCCTGTACATTCCTCTCTGTCATCAGTAGCGATCCCCGCACACTTCAGGTCAAGACAAGTCAAACTTCACTGTCATTTAAACGAAATGGCGTAAAACCAGTTTTACATGTGTTGAATTTGTACCGCAGATGCGATGGGCTGTTTTAATTGCTTTCAGACGTGGCCCAGGAGTTTAAGGACGAGCTCCGTACCCTAATTCCTACACTGCTGAAGCCAGCCAGCCTGGCTGAAAAGGAGATCAATGGCAACAAGGTCACATGCAGAGGTCTGCTGGAGTATTTTAAGGTGAGGGGGTGATGACGCCTGTTACTCTCCCTGATGCAGCTGTAGCTGCCACAGCGTGCTGGAGATGCACTGTCACTCTTTCCTGCTGTGGTGGGTGACAGCTGTTTTTACTCTCTTGTCTTTAGGCATACATAAAGATCTACCAAGGCGAGGACCTTCCCCATCCGAAATCCATGCTGCTGGTACTTAGTCTAATTACTGCTGCTTCCGCTAGAGTTTTGGCACGTGTCTGTCGCAGGGACTATTCAGTGTTGATTTCACCTTTACACTGATTGCACAGACCAGTAGCTTCTGGCAAAATATGAATGTTCTGCTCTGTGGACAAAGATAGATTGGATAAGAGCATCTATTCCCTTTTTCTGACTGCATGTGAAACTCCCTGGTTAATTCAAATTATAGAATCACTGCTGTCTCTATCAGCATGTAGATTTAAAAAAAAATAAATAAATAATGAAAACGATAGTCTATCCATCCACCTGTCTTTTAGGGATTTATTGGGTACAGGGTTGTACGTGATCTGTGCATTCAGTTTAATACTGGGAGTACTAGTACTCATAAATGTAATTGATGGCTTGGTTTGCAACAAAGGTAAGATTTAAGGATGTTCAACTGAAAACTGAATGAAAGTATTGTTCTTGTGAGAATTCCTGTTTGCATTTCTGTTTAGGGTATCAGACTGGGTGATACTTTGTCAGTGATATGCAGCAGGCTAATTTTGTGCTGCTTTATTCCAGGCCCCATTTTAAAAACAGTGGTAAAGCTGTCCTTCTCTTTCAGGCAACAGCAGAGGCTAACAACCTTGCAGCAGTGGCAGCAGCCAAAGATCAATATTACAAGAACATGGAGAAGGTTAGTACATTCATGTACATGTGGGGACAATATGAGAGTTAAGAGTGTATGTCCGAGGAAATGAGACCTTTACCATTTCATTGATAGTACTTCATTTTCTTGAATCTGAATGACATTGAGAACGTTGTCATTCTGATTTTGTTGTTGTTGGTCAACCATAGTGAAGCGGAGTACAAGCCAGTTTTGGTGAACCTTTTGGGTACAGCTCAAATGAGAATCTAACCTGCAGTCAGTTCCATAAATATAACACATTGTGACAGACAAAAGTTGCAAGTGTTGTTCTAGGTGTGCTGTGAACCGTTAAATATAGCTGCAACGTAAAGACACCAATAAATCGCTGTGTTTATGACCTGGTTGTGTATTAATACATCCTGTCAAATCCCCAATGTGAATGCAGCCTGTAAGACTTTCCCGCAATAACTAAGAATGAAATCTAATGTTTATCTGTTTAAAATGTTGTTGTATGACTGTCTTTGACTCCCCTCCCACTTTCTGTCCTTACTAGGTCTGTGGGGGAGACTTGCCTTACGTCTCACCGGACTCCTTAGAGGAAAAGCATCAGTTCTGCCTCCAGGAGTCACTGGATCTCTTCACGTCCACCAAAAAAATGGGGGGACAGGAGTTCTGTGAGCGCTACTACACCCATTTGGAGAAGGAGCTGGAGGAGATGTGGCAGTCTTTCAGGAAACACAATGAGGTGAGGTGCAGATTCAACTGTGAAGCAGTGTCACCATCTAGGCCAGTGGTTCCCAACCCAGTCCTCGGGGACCCACATATGGTCCACGTCTTTGTTCCTTCCCAGCTCCCAAGCAAAACAGTGGACTGTCTGCTGGTCCCCAAGGGCTGGATTGGGAAACACTGGTCTAGTCAGTATTAGCACTGTGGATACATAGGAACATGCTTTTTATTTTTAATGTACTCCCATGACACTGTACTGGAAAAGGAGTTGGATGGATTTTTATATACCTAGGATAAACAAATTCTTAAAGTCAATATGTGGAATATAACTGATGAATGATTAACATTGTATCACTGATATAGCTTCTTTTTTTTCCTGCTAAAAGTCCAAGAACGTCTTCAGTGCATTCCGAACACCTGCAGTGCTGTTTGTCCTTGTGTGCTTCCTGTACGTTCTGTCGGGCCTGCTGCTGTTCATTGGATTGGCCAGTATGGCGTCTCTGTGCGACCTTGTCCTGGGCCTGGCCATGATTGCCATGCTCACTTGGGCCTTCATACGTTATTCTGGAAAATATCGCGGGCTTGGTAGTGCAATAGACCAAGCTGCTGGGGTACTACTGGAACAGGTAAGTTCCCTACCAAAGGTCACATTACATTAAAACAGGGGTGGCCAATCTTATCCGCAAAGGGCCAGTGCATATGCAGGTTTTTGGGATAATCTTTAGGGCTGCTGTTCAAACCTAAGTGTGAAGACTCCTCAACCAATCATCAGTGCCTGACCACACAAATGTCTTCAGGATGAATGGGCAAAATTCTCAGACACACTCAAAAAAGCCTTCCCAGAAGATTGTGGTAGCAGTGTAAATGCATACTTATTTTATGTGCATTTGCGCTGATATGAAAACAAAATATAATGCATTTTAATCTTTATATGCTAACTTCATTTGCGGTATACGGGTTAAAATGCAAGGTATTTTCCTGTCATAGCAGCATAAATGCACATAAAATAAGTATGCATTTGTGCTTTTACAATCGATTGTTGCACGTATCGTTCTTAAAGGTGTGTGTTTGTTTGTGTGTGTGTGTGTGTGTGTGTGTGTGTGTGTACTGCTGATCTTTTTTTTCTTTTTTCCTTCTCTTTTTTTTCAGGCTACAGTGGTATTAAACATGTCCAGAATGCCAGCAGTGGTGCAACAGAAGAAACAAAGTTAGGTTCCCAAATAAAGCTCACTGGCAGCCAGGTGACATTCATGGCTCACATAATAACATAGTGATACACAAAATGGATACCAAGAGAGAAACAGCACAAGTGTCTGGTCGTATACGGGCTCTAAAATCTTAGATTATTGACACCTTTACACACACCACAATACACTACGTGGCAATGACAGTAATACCATTTCACCAGCACAAAAGTGTGGCAACCTACAGCACTATCCAGCTTTAAACGTTAATGCGAGGTGTACTGCAGGGCTCCGTCTTAGAACCCAAAGAACGTCATTTTGTACTGCTATGCATTCACACTGCCTTAAGCTGTTACCCTGTCTCAGGGGCACTGGTGTTTGTTGTTTAGAAAATTCAAAACTAGGAAGTAGGTGCATTTAACACACCAGACATTGGTCAGTTAGCTTTGTCACCACAATCTTTGGGTTGTGTGACTGTAATATCAAAATATGTTTTATCTGGGTTTCATCTGCAAATGATTACTTATAATTTAAACACCAGTGTACTATATAATTTAATAATTTAATGTCTATATATGCCTCAAATTTGATCTGGCACCATGCTGCATTAATGCCTTGTATTTTACACAATGTGCCTTATACATAATTATAGCAGTACTCCCAGGGTAATAATCAGGTGCTGCGTTTTTTTATACACTATTTTTCTGCTTATGGCTGTTTTTCCGCTGTAGTATTCAGACATATTGTTTTCCCTGTTATTCCCTTTTTCTTATGTTTAGCAATTAGATACAAAAAAAAAACTTTCCACATACAGGTTGGATGTGTGTATACTCCATAATGCATCCATTTAAAGTGTCATGATATTTTTATTGCATGAGAATTGGTCCGCTACTTAGATTGTTACATGCTGTCTGTTAACTCTGACTCCATTCCTGTCTTTAAGAAACTCAACTCTGCCGTATATCAAGATTTGTTTTAACTTTTAAATCATCACATATTCTGTGATATTTTGGTTATATCATTTCAGTAACTCGCACAAAGTTGCATCTTAAATGAACTGAGATTTTAAGTAGTGAAGGACCAGTTAAAAGGTTTATATTTGATAATACAGAAAATGAATTCCAGCTGCAAGAGAACACCCCTCATAACTAAGCAGTAATGTTTATATATATTTTTTTATTTAATTACTCTGTACATCACATTCCACAACATGTTGCATTCAAGTCTTATGTCATCCTGTAAAGTTGCACATGTAAATGATGTGGGTATTGTTCATTAACTTTGATACTCTTTGCACATTTTACTCTTTGTTTAAATTTAAAGTTTATTCATTTATGTAATAAAAACATTTGCATTAAATGTATTTACTCAGCTTTCTTTCTCTCCTGGCTTTACCGATGTTAAATGTAAATTTATTATTTTGTCCAAATCAGCTTACACGTTAAGAGCATATACTGTGTTATATCGTTTACTGGAATTGTTACTGAAAGGAGTAAAAGCTTTTGAACTAAATAAAATGAGAATGTTTAAAATGAATCAAAGTGCCCACTTATTTGTACGATCATTTTCATGCAAATCGCTGCTCCTTAAACTTATTTACATTTGTACTTCAAAACACTAGGTGTCAGCATTGAACTAAACACAAAATGACAGTTTTTATGCAGGACTAGTAAAACTTTTCGAATTGGTTTTACAGAGATTTAATTCATGTTGATAAATGTTTCATTTTTATAATTTTTTTCTACTTGGTTATAACTTCGGAGCAATACGTCAGTTATAACATTTGACAAGAAAAACATTACAAAAACTCGTCTCCTATTTAAAATGCGGAAGTTGTGTCCTCCATTCTACAGTTATCTTGTCTACTGCGGGCCCTGTCCCGCCTCTCGTCGGGTTCTGCGGTTCTCTTTCCTCAACACGCTGCTCAACGAACTTCGCTTCAGATCTGCGATGGCTTATTACCTTATATGGCAATCGACGCCACAATCCACACGGCGCTAGAGCAGTAGCGTGGGGCGCGCGCACGCCACCGGTGCTACTATTCGCTTCCTTATTTGGAAGCGAGTTCAGACGCCTTAAAGGGAGAAGCACGTGGGCGGAACTGTGGTATCCTTCAGAATAGTCAAACGTAACTACGTTGATTCGTTCTTTAAATGTGGTTTTGGGCAACCCAAAGAACCGAGGAAAAGGAACCTGATTAAAAATATGAAAATGGTACATACACGTAGATATGTGTTAACTTTATTTGGCTTCTTAATTGTACCTAGTTTCTATTAATAAAACAGCGTAGCTTAACTTTTTTTCTGTGCAAAAATAAGCTAGTCTTCAGTCATTTACTGATATAACGGTACGAGCTAGCAAGAGGTTGACTAATACGATATACATGAAGGACAAAAGTATTGCATTAACAACTACAGCTAATTGCTGTTAAGCAAGTGGTATGTGCAATATCAAAGTTGGCAACCAAAATATGCATCCATATCAATAATGTCATTTCAATGTAGGAAAAGTTGCAGTGACTGAAACCAGAAGACCTTTCACTGTGTGCGTTTCTTCACAACTTACTCTTTTAAACTGGCTGTCCAGTTTCCTGTACTTGGAAATCTGTGCTGTATCACATCTTTTCTGAAAATACAGCAGGCCTAGTTTTCGTCATTATAAACTCTCTGATTAAGTATGCCGATGCCCTTAATATTTCTCGATCTACGTCGTACGTCAAAATTCTGTATGATAAGCATTAGTTTAACCCCAAGCTCGTGTTTTGTACAATACACTGAAAGATTTACACGTCATAATCATTGAGATCGTGATATCGGCCATTACATATTCTTAAACATTTAAAACTGGCATAGCAGAGACATTCGCTGCATTTAAATTGTACCGGTATCTCCTAGACAAACCTCAATTCCCACTATCCTCTCCGATTGAAGCACAGGGTCTCCAAACCCGGATGTGCGCTTCCCACCCACAGCTGCGAAGCACGCACAGCTGGGCGCGTCCGCGAGGCGTAGCGAGTCATACGGAGGCACTGCACTCGAGCTCATTCAATCGCGAGCCAGACGCCGACAAACTCGTACAGCGATACTACCATGGTACGTTCACATTTTAACGTCTCTGCCCTCATTTCGGAATATATATATATGTATAACAACACATAATCCAAATGTTTTATAGTGCTTTAGCCATGTAGCGGGTTTTGGGTTTTGTGCTGTAATAGCCCGCATGTATTAGAGCTGCAGTAGAGCACTTCCTAGTTTTTCTTGCTTTCTTTCTCTCTCTCTTCCACTGGCTATGCACTTGACAGAAAACAAGTCAGGCGGTGACTAATCTGAGTTCCTATTTTTTATAAAATGTTTGTGTACGAATTAAGTGATGCAGGGAATATATTTTGTTTCTCCCCCTTGTTTACTTGATTAAACCATATATATAATATATATATGTATAACGGTATATAACGGAAGCAACAAAACGACGAGAACTGGCGCCATTTCCTCGTTCTCGTTCTCTCTGGGCAAGTTGAGGCCTAGCTCGGTATGTCTGGATCTGTTTTGGCGTCTTATTAAAATGAGTCGACAGGCCTCCACCTCAGTCTGCCGCCCGTTCTCCGGCTCGTTGTGAATGTCGGATTTGAGTAAATTAAGTCTGTCTCGGTTTGGAAATGGCGATTGTTTTGTTTTTCTTATGTGACTTTTTGACTCTGTGGGCGACTGAGCGGTTAACTGCCCGGTGCACGTTTGCCAATTTCGCGTATTGATTGTCAATATTTCAGCTGATGTTTGACTTTGCAGGCGGCCGTAGCTGCAGTTTTTAGGTAATGTGGCCGATTCTCACACGGAGTAACGCTGTGCTCACGGCCCCACCCTAATCTACTTTTCGCTCTAAGATCGGGATCCCATGTTTCCGTAGCATCTCCGATATATTTTACTTAGGCACTTATGTAAACCAATGCACAAAAGGTGACATCTAATGACTTAAGCGACCCTACGTCGGTTCTTCAGGAGAGACCTAGCGTTTGGCTGTCGTCTGAAGTGGCTTGACCGGCTTCCTGGTTGCGCGCAGGCAACTTTGACAAGCCGTGTCGGTGGCCACCCCTGCTCGTCAAAGTTCAAGGTTAACTTGAGCTGCTTTGGCTGACCAGTTGATGCGGCACAGTGGTCGTTGCTGCTAGTCAAATTTGCCGTTGTTCAGAATTACCACTTGTATGTGCGAGTTCTGTACCATGTGCTCTGCAACTATTCACTAAATTTCACGACTTTATAATCTCAGAAGCCATTCTATTCGATCTCCCATCCCTCTTTGCTTTCTTCCAATAGCTATTTAAAAACCACATGCTTCCAAATGTTAAATGTTAGGGTCTTTTGGCCTTTGTAGCGAGTTTGTCGTCGTCGTTGCGTTTGGAAATGTAATGTGTGTTAAATCATTGCATTCGCTGTCTTCGGGCCTAGTTGCGTGCGCCTGCGCGTCTGGAGCAGGCGTTGGTACCGGTATCATCTCTCTTCGCCATACATGTACTCAGCCTTTTTTTCCCTTTTATTTCCGGTTTTGTTTCGCGTCTGTCTAGCCGTTAGCAAAACTGAAAATCGGTCGCCATGGTTTGGGCTGTTGGGGTAGGATGGTGGCGCCTTTGAGTATCCAATTTGCCGTATGTTGATCGGCTGAATTTCCGAGATCTTGAGGGAAACGGTGGCAGGTGTGTGTTCGTTCAGCCAGAGAATCCGAAAGGCTAAATGAGGGAAGTTTTCTAGCCTCTTCCGACTACATTTCCTATGTTGCAGTGTCGCAACTGACTCACTCGCCCCGAAATCAGTGTTAGTCTTGGCCAAGTCAAACGACTCTTAACCGAAAATCATGCAGTATACCCAAACTATCACAAGTAATTTTAGTGACAGGCAGATAGTTGTACATGGTAACGCATTTTGTAGGAATCGAAACCTTTGGTTTGTTAATGGTATTTTAAATTGCACTCCGCATATTGGTCTTAGGAGTTTTTATATTACGGATTAAAATGCTGTCATACTCGTCTAGGCCGCGAACAAACAGGACACGGAAGACTTATGAGCGGAATATTTAGCAAATTTTGACACTCGCTTCATTAAATAATTCTTTCCGTTTGTTCAGACTCAACCTGGAGAAATATGGAGAAACTTTGATCCTTTTAACTTTTTAAGAATTATCTTGTCTTTATAACCATTTCTTGCTGTCTTAAATCCTTGCTTGGCAGCTTGTACACAGGTAATTGTTGAGGTGCTCCTTGAAACAACCCTTTCCCTGCGCTGGGGATTTACACATTTGTTACACTCTGGCGGATCAATTCGATTCTGTAGTCTGGTGCCCATTACATTTATTTTGGTGGTTAGTTGTGTAGTATGCAACTCTATACAAGCTCAAGTAATGCAGAGCCATCTGCCAAATAAGCTTTGTCCTCTTCATGCTCAAAACATGCGGCTGGTGCAATGTTGGTTGATATTTTACGGTTGTGATTTGCAGTTGCGTAGTACCTTGTTATACCCGGCTTTCATCTGCTTTAGTCTAAATGAAAATCAGAAGTCCTCAGTCTCATGCATTGTGATTGAAATTTGCTTAACTAAACACCACTAAAGCCCTGTTGTCTGTAGTAACAACCCATGATACAATGACTTCATGTAGTGCATGCATGCGTCCTCCAGACAAACTTGCAGCATTGCTGACTTAAGTTAATGCTTCCTGATGATCTTCATTTGATTAGTGTGCTTAGCCAGTGGTAAAAATTTTCAGTACCCTGAAATCATGCGCTGTTACCATCAGTGTAATAACAAAGTTTGCCCTGTTTTATATACATTTCTATATAGGTGGAGAGCTCCTTGAAGGCCAATTGGAAAGACTGAAACTATCCAGTCTAGTCAATAGTTTGGAGATAAGTTCCAGTATTGGTTTAGTTTTTTAATATCTGCCATAAACGTGTAACTTAAACGTTTGTTCTGAAGTATTTTGACATTCATTTGCAGCATTTACTTACCTTATACAGTTCATTGATAACTTCTGCAGGGCTTTTGTGTATGTAAAATAATGAAGCATAAAGGCATTTACAAAGATCCCAGACAAACTGAATAATGGATATGATTGTTGCACTGAATGGTGCATTTTATTTCACTAGTTTAAACTATATATAGAGCTGTTTAGTATTAAGTTTTCTTAGATTTATAGTTTTAGGTGATGTAACATCTTGCATGCTTAACATTCTCATCCATAAAACATTTAAATCAAAATATTCAAGTTGCTAAAATCCTAAATGTATTAAGCTTGCTGCACACAGTGAATTGCAATGCTAAAATTACTTGCAGTATATGGTTTTGTACTATCTAGTTTTATATCTTTAAAAATAGTACACTGTCTGAAATAATACTTAACTAGCATCCTACTGCTCTCTGCAAAAGATTTCACCTGAGAAGAGCACTTTTTCTGGCCTGTATGTATATGTTCAGGAAAAATGCTGTCTTCAGAATTAATCAAAATAATACAATAACTACCTTTTGGGGAACAAGATTTCTTGGATTGCTAGAGGAATCCAGCTTTGTTTCTGTATACTCTTACCATTCCACTTATTTAACAGCCAGCTTGTTTTAATAATTGACTTCATGAAATATTGGTAAGCCAAATTAGTGAAGTGCATGGGTATATTGGAGTGATTGGAGAGGCTTTGAAATGTCTATGCTTAGAGACTTACAGACACAAAATCATCAGATTTATGGCAACTAGGGCTGCAAAAAATGATTATTTTGATAATTCATCATGTGATCGACTAATTCATTATTTTGGCCAAAACGGGGTTCAAAGAAAAGCAAATACTTTATTTAAAAAACATTAAGAAGTATTTAAGTGACTGTTGTTGTAAAACCTTTACACAATGTAGAGAATCTCTAAAGTGGCAGTGGCATAGAAATACAAAATCTGCTGTCTCCGCCATATTGTTTGCTGATGATTGTACTTGGCCTAGTAACAACTTCAAAACTGTTCATGAAACTTTCCCATTTCACTTCGCTGCCTGTATTTGTTTATTGCAATACACTTGCCCCCTGCTGGTCTGGTGGAGTAGCATTGCCGTACGCATGTGCTGATGTGACCTGTTTCTGTGGACGCATAACCGTGTACAGACTGTAATGGATGCACAGAAGTGAAATATGAACTAGGCACAACATGCCGACGTTAACATTATGACGACATCACCTTCTAGCACTGTTTACTCGGCATGCTAAAATGCACCCGAGCAATGACGAAATTAGTTGATAACTATTTCATTGATTATTATTGATTCATTGTTGCAGCCCAAATACTGTTTTAGCAGAGCTTTATACAAGAGGCCATGCTGCTAATGTCTACTCCAGAAAAATTCCAGTATAGTGTAACGCTCGGTCCAGTTGTTGAAGAGCACAGTTGGCAGGTTATTCCCTTGTCATATTTCATGTTATTGCTGGAAGGTAATTTTGCATTGGAATTATCTTCCAACTGCTTACTTTCACTTGGTTGGGGGTCATTGTAATCATTCTGCGTAATTTCTTATATGAAGTAGATTTATTGCAGAACATTGTGCTGTCAAATTACATTTTGGGAATTACAAGTGGGGGGAAAAAAATCAATCTGCCCATCAGCTTATCACTGATTTGCTTTCAGCTTTAAACAGTCTTTTGCAAACCATGCTGCATATGAACAGGAAGTTGAATGCTTTGTGTTTCAGCTCTTTGCAAGCTTTTAATACTTTCCCGTCTAGGTTTTTGAGGAAGTGATTCTGTTCTTACAGTATGCTGTAAGTTTACAGTACACTGAGTTGTGTAGTAGATTTTAAAACATTTCTATCCATAGATTACATCTCACACAACTGTGTGTGCTGTAGCTGGTATTGAAAGATACTCGTGTTTATTGGTTTGATAGTGCCACCTTTGAAGGAAACACATGAAGTAGCCTGTTTTGTACTCGTATCTTATGTCCTAAATTGGTAGGTCATTGGGCAAGCTCTGCTGTGCTTCCCATCTTTCTTTTATCTATTGCCCTTTAGTGCTTTACATTGCCCTGAAAAGGTTGCATTTAGGCCACTCCTTGCTCCTATTCATTTTTTCCTAGAGTGAAATATTTTTTCAGTCAGTGTCAGGTGTTTATATTGTGACAAAATATCCGTCTTTTTTTTTTCTTTCATTTTTTCATACTGGTCATTTAGGCTTGGTAGCTATTAAGCACTGGGCTGGAGTGGAGTAACCATGCATTTGCATATCACTGATTGATGGCTAACCACCCTCCTTGCCCCTCTAGGCCTCCGGAGTGACAGTGACCGATGATGTGATTAAGACCTTCAATGACATGAAGGTGCGTAAAGCTGAGGAGGACAAGAAGAGTAGAAAGAAGGCTGTGCTTTTCTGCCTGAGTGATGATAAAAAGAGCATCGTCCTGGAGGACGGCAAGGAGATCTTGGTGGGTGATGTTGGAGACACCATTATGGATCCCTACTTGCACTTCGTCAACATGTTGCCTCCCAATGACTGCCGTTATGGCTTGTATGATGCCAAATACGAGACCAGGGAGACGAAGAAGGAAGACCTTGTCTTCGTGTTCTGGTAAAAATGGTTTTTTGATTGACTCTTGTGTTAATATGTTGTCTTAAATGTCTTATTCATGGGCCTTTTGAGCTGAACCACTGTCTCTGTCTTAGGGCCCCAGAGAATGCCCCTCTGAAGAGCAAGATGATCTATGCCAGCTCCAAGGATGCCATCAAGAAGAAATTCTCAGGTTAGAAGCCCAAAAGGAAGGGTTGGCTGCTTGGTGAAGCATCACTTTAATTCCTTAAAGTTTGACTTGCAAGCAAAACACTCAATTGTAAGGATGACCGAAGAGGAAATGCAGGTTGAACTGTTAGTTCCCAGCAGACAAGATTAGGCTTGTATTTAGTTATCTAAATATAAAACGGGCTTTTAAAATGGCATTGAATGGATTGAAAGTCAGCTGAATGTATGCTGTACAAAAGTACAAAAAGTCACTGATATAAAACTGACATGCCATTAGTTTCCTGCATCTGCACATGGTTTCACTTATTGCAGGCAGCTTCTTATCTAGCTGTGACCTTTGGTTAATCAGTCATCATACACTGAGCTCAAGCAGTACATTTGTAGTCTTAAGCCTGATATGGAAATTCATTACAAGTTAGGCTTATTACTTTGCTCCCCATTTCATCTGGAAGTATCTGGCTAACACAACATATGCATGTATGGTATTGAAATGCAGGTCTAGTAAAATATTTTGTATTGTCTTGTTTTAGGCATTAAGCATGAGTGGCAAGCTAATGGGCCAGAGGACATCAAGGACCGGAAGTCCTTGGCAGAAAAGCTTGGAGGCTCATCAGTGATGTCTCTGGAAGGGCTTCCTTTATAAGTTTAACTCCAGGTTGCACTTTGGGCCTATCAGAAAGCATATTTGTGTTGGGGTATGGCTTTTCATTCTGATACAAAGTGTGTGTGTGGAGGGGGGGTACTCTGGGTAGGTGGGGGTAATAGATGGGGGGGGGGTATCTGACAGTTTTAATTTCCAATATTGTTGGTTGTCATTCCAGTTCACTCAAATAAAACCAACACAAACGTGGTTTATAAGTGCATAGGGTAGAACTGAAATTTAAACCGTGTATGAGAACAGGTTTTTCTTTCAGAATTCCTTTAGACTGAGGTGAGGACAGCAGCTGTTACATTTGAAACTTCATTCCTCCTAATTTTTTGTTTTTGCCAAACTTATTCACTTACGATTATTAGCTACACACCTGGTGTTATACAACATGCAGTGGGTTTTCAAACGGTTTTTGGGAGCTTTTTTTTTTTTTTTTTTTTTTTTTTTTTAAGAATGTCAATATAATTCCAGAATTTAGATAGAATATTAAAATGAAACTGGAAATATTTTGAGACCAAAACAAACCTTGGCACATTGAGGACTAAAAAAAACTTAGTTCATTAACCAGTTAATATTGTCTTTTGGAAAAGCCTATAGAATGGAATGATAAAGGTATTGCGGTAGCGTGTGTATGGAGTGAAGGCTATTTGCTGCGTGGTTGGATGTTTTGTATCGTCCCCTGATCTCTAATAAAAAGCACTAAACTAACCTTTTGATGCCCTTTATTTTGTGTAGCTCTTGATCTTTGAATGGTTGCGTATTGTAACTAAATTATGTTGCTCCAAGCCCATCCTGCAATTGGGGCATCAGGTAAGCTTTCTTTGGCCTGTGAGTGACAGAAAGGTATAAAATAGTTTGACTTTCGGTAGCTGTCTTGACCAATACTTTGGCATGTTGTCTGTTCTTTGACATCAGACATATCTGCTAGAAAGGCCTGGGCATGAACCTGACGGTGAACTCAATCAGCACTACACTTCGTATCTAAAACATCAGAAAAATTGCAGGTTATGCTTTCTGACGGTACAGCAACTGGTGGATGAGTTTAATGGAGTCCCTGCAGTTTCAGATTTGTATTGATTTATAGGTTTTGATCATTCATCAGATAGGCTGCTAGGGTTGGCATTTACTTATGCAGAGGTATGTATCCAGGTGCATGTTCTGTGCATTTTTTTGGGATATGTGTTGTACTGCAATACTGATTCTGTCCACAAGATGGCAATGGTATATATTTTACTGTTGCTGCCTTGGGAGAAATGTCTTCAAAGCCCATGTTTGGGGAACTACTGTCTGACTTGAACAACTATATACTAGTTAACTAGCATAGGGGGTATTAGTGTCTGATCAAGCTTTGGGTTAACATTGTAAGTCACAATAAATACAACTGATATGTACCATTAGCTTCTGGTTTACTTAACCTAGTGCATCACAAACTAATGTGTATTAACAGATACAGGAAAATTTGAAAAAGCCAGAAGTCAATATGTAAATGCTTCCCTAATGTATGACAACCATGCACACAATGACCAATTTATGAGGTATGCCTACTTTCTGTTGTAACCAGCTTATGTGACTGCAACTGAATACATATAGCACAGATGCTGGGTCAAGAGATTCACTTTTTGAATACGCATTGGAACAGCCAAAATGCCTTATCTAATTTATTTTGAATGTGGTTTAATGGTGTCGTACGTGACAGCTACATAAAGACCGACCTCTAGGAAGTTTAAGGCACTGCAGTGTCATGTGTTAACAGGATGGCGCGATGAACAAAAATGTCCAGTTAAAGGAATTTCTGTGGCCGAAAGAAAACGTTAATGAGAGCTCAGAGGAAAAGGCCGGACTTGTTAAAGATAACAGGAAGGCCATACATGTGCAGAAATGCTTCCCTGAGCACATAACTCACCTACCTTTGAAGTGATTCCAGAGCCAAAAGTGAGCTTAACCTGATAGTCACTAGGTGTTTATATGGAAGTGTATTTCAGACAAGCTGCTTTTACGCACTCATAACCAATCAGCTTCATTTTACAGTTAGTTTCTATACTTTACCTCATGTAGTACCAATGTCAATAACTTACCTCTACTTGCGTCCCTTATACTGGGCCGTTCAGTTGTCCAGTCTAGAGAATCTCTCTTCCTACTTGATTCCATTGCTTGGCTAATGGCCCCTTCTTCATTGGTTTGCCTTCACATACCTCCATCCACTTTTAAGACCATTTCTGCAAGACGCTACAGGTCATCGTGTGTCATGAACACCGACGTGTACATGGCGTTATTACCTATACATGTGTAAGTAATAAACATTAGCATTTTTTGTACAAATGCTACAACACTCATCCCAGACATTTTATATTTTTTCATCAATTTACTCCACCCACGCTCCTCCCTGCCCCAAATCCTAACGGTATTTCGGATTCCAAAATCCTGCCTTGTTCCAACCTGCCCTGACTAACAGTCAAGATTAAGAATTCACGGTGACGAAGCAGGAAATCGGAGAGAGTTATGTCATATTACAAAATATCCACTAGATGGCGCACCAAACACCAGACAGGCATAAATATTTGTTGCTGCATAAAGCACCTGAGCCGATGAAAAGTGAAATTAAAAGACTGCCAAAAAAGAAATTAATCAACCTCTGAAGAAAAATTATAATTATATTAATTAATTATAAATTCTGACAATAAGGGGAAATCCGTTCAGAAATGAATGAATAAAAGTAGATTTGTGTAACCGGCGGTGTTTAGTTAATTTAACGAGGGATCTGTGTCAGGGCTCAGAAGGTCATTGGTTCAGATCCTGTGGTCAGCAACATAATCAGATCACTGTTGGGTCCCTTAGCACAGCCATTATCTGCTCATGAGATGCTCACTGGCTCTGACCCTTACTTGTATGTCACTTTGGACAAGAGTGTCTGTTAAAAGTTTATTTAAATATGTCATAAGGTATGTTAATATAAGGGCTCCATGATGAGTACTCTGATCTCATCCACCCAGTGTTGTGGGTTTAATGTGTGGCCCTGCTGTGCGTGTGGAGAGTTTGCCTGCTCTCTACTGGATACACAGGTTTCCTCCTGCAAAGTCAAAAAACGTTTAGTTGGTTGAACTAGTGACTCTAAATTGTGCCGAGTGTTTGAATGGGTGCCCTGTGGCAGATTGGCATGCCATCCAGGTGTTACGCTGCTTCCTGATCTGCATTTTCCAGGGAAGGTTCAAGGTTCATGACATCACTGTGCTGGATATATGCTTATGGTAAATGGACATGTTAATGCGATAAGCAGAAATGGGCCAGTAATGGTACCAATGACATCATCACTTCACATCACCACATCTCCATGTAGTGGCGTAGATATTTTTGAGTGTAATCTCTCCCCCCATTTTGGTTATACACTGTATTGCAATCTCTCCCCCCATTTTGGTTATGCACTGTATTGTAATCTCTCCCCTCATTTTGGTTATACACTGTATTGTAATCTCTCCCCCCATTTTGGTTATGCACTGTATTGTAATCTCTCCCCCCATTTTGGTTATACACTGTATTGTAATCTCTCCCCCCATTTTGGTTATACACTGTATTGCAATCTCTCCCCCCATTTTGGTTATACACTGTATTGTAATCTCTCCCCCCATTTTGGTTATACACTGTATTGCAATCTCTCCCCCTATTTTGGTTATGCACTGTATTGTAATCTCCCTATTTTGTAATCTCCCTGTTTCTTTGTACTTTGTTGTGAGGGAAACAGATGATGGTTACAGGAGATCAAAGAAAAGCAACATGTCAAAATAGATATTTAGCGGAAAAAATATATAATACCTAACTACTTCTACAATCACGGTAAAATAATTTTTTGATAAGGAGTTATGTATTTATAGTTGTCCAGAAAATGAGTCTATGTCAAATATTCCCGATGTGCATTAAGTCTAAGACTTAACAATATTTTCTGGATGTAAGTTGTGTTTTGGAGAAAATGAAAGCAAAAGTAACTTCCAAAAATATCATAAGAAATTCAGAGCTTTGTGTGAAGTGCTTTAAGGGTAACAGGTCTAACAGGTGTGGATAGCTGTATAATGGCGGTAACTGTATGTATGTTAAAAACAACCAACGAGCGGCTTGGAACATTGCTGAAATTCTTCCCAGTAATATGGGAAAATGCAAGGAGAAAGACTAAAAAGTTCAAGATAAACTGCAGTGGAAAACAAAGATCTAAGGGCTACAGGCACAAGACAGGGAACAGCCCAAGATGGAGCGCCAAGCCATCGGTACATAATGTATGAGCTATTTCCATGCTTTGAAAAAGGCTACAGTTAGGTCTTCCTGTAAATTTAGTGAATTTGGGTAAAGAATAGTAAACAAAATAGAATGAGCTGTGAATGAAATATCAAACACCCTGACAACATGTACCGAAGTCAAGGAATCAGTACACTACTTTATAAGAAGCATTGGGCATTTGTATGAATGGGTGAACTTTTTTTCTCATCCATCCTCATAGCAGAATGGTGAGTGGAAAAGAAGATGAATGGCAAGAGTGGAAGGCTGCTAGTCTGGTTGAGCTTGAAGTGTGGCACCCTGCCTGTGTGTTACTCTTGCTCTCTGCACCTACCGTTTCTCCTCTGCACCACTCCCCATATTTTCCAGGCGTCTGTCTTAACACTCGGTCAGTCTACACACCTTTGAAACTTCAAATGTCAGACACGTAACCCGACGCACCGACTGAACACTGACATCACAAGTGTGGTTGAAGGAACAAAGTGTGTTTATCGTAAAATTGTGCTTGTTTGTTAACATGAGGATATATCAGATAACAGTCACATGCCCAAACAGTAAGTGAAGCCACTTATTTTTCGAGAGATTGCAAGTATTTACATTCAGTGGCAAATGAGTAAACATGAAGCAATAATTACAGAAAAAAATCATATGGAATTGCTTCACATATGCCGTGGTATGTTACTTTGGTTTATAAAACTCACTAAAAGCTCACTGTTTCCAGGTCAGTTCAAAGACACTAAGGACTTGCTTAATACAACCTGGGAAGGTATACATTTCCAAAAAAGAGATGGTGTATTAATTCAGTTCCTGCTGTGAGGTTTCCTGGACTGAAAAAGTCAAACAACTGCCCCTAGGGTAGCAGACTTATTACTGGAATATATTTGAAGGTAAGCAAGAAGAATATGCCAGTGACACTTTTCGCAATATATTTTATTTACTTTCCCCCCCAAAATTGAATGATCACATGACTCTGGTGTCCATAAAACCAGTTTCTGTTAGAGGCACAAAGAGATGCCAGAAGTCAGCAGTTAAAGGAGACTGATGAATTAGGGGTGATGAGGAAGGAGAGGTGTGTGTTTGAGCCGACCAATCTGACAGCCCTGGTAACATACCATTCATTCTGAAGGGCAGCCGCCCTACCCACCTTGTTCTCCCTCTAATTCTGGCTTCTGTACAAAATGTCTCTCTCCCCGCATGGCTCACTCATTCTCAGAAAGTAGTTTTCTTTAAGCGGTCTACCCAGATCAGGTAGATTCCTTTAACCAGTTCCTCAGAGAAAGCAAAAGAATTCAAAAAAAGGTCATTAACTATTTTTTCCCCTTTTAAACTAATGCAATCTTTTTGTCCAAGTGATAGATTCTACTTTTTATAATTTATGTAATTCTATGTTTCTTTTCCAAAATATTGCATAATACCATGGAAAAAATGTATTGTTCATATTATAAGAA